TTTCATAGAACAGATTTTTTCAAGTTTGTATAAAGAATATCTTAATATAATCTTTCTTACACAAAGGATGAGCAACAAGTATTACAATTTTTAAAGAAAATCACATCAAAAAACAACGGAAGGTACTTATCAAACAAACAAACGGAAGGCAGTAACTGATAGAGAGAAATAAAATATGTTACATATACATGCAACCAGACACGCATTACACTAAGTACAACAACCGATAAAATAACATTAAAGGATGCTTTCAAAAAAATCTTGCCAAACTGTCCATTTCACTGAGAGAAGACAGCTTTGGGCACAAAATCCTAGAAAAAATAATAAAAAAATAAAACTTTGCAAACTACAAAGCAATTCAAGTTTTTGAGATGTTAAATTGGCAGCATTTTAATCATCTCCATCAAACTTACTGGTAATTTTCCTGGCTAAGGTCTCAATAAAATGCTTGTCATGACTTGCTCGTCAGGCTTCGGCAGACTTCAAGTGACTGTGAAGAAAGACCATTGTCAAAGCCAGGCACAAGCTCTTTTTATAATTTTTATTTTATTTCACAACCTTAGCCCCACCAATGACCAAGATCTGAAAACTAAGGCATAATTGACGAAGTTTTCCATGTGCACAAATAAGTACATAAAGTATATGTGAGAGTGAAGATTAGTTAGTTCAAGCGGCACGCTTGTGGATTTCTTTGCCTACAATAGTTATTACTTAAGTGACATAATTTGCCTCATACAGGGAATTGCCTTTATCTGAGAGAAAGTGCATAGGTTCAACAAATCAAAATAACACTTTAGACAACCCATATTTGAATAGCCTGTAAGATGTAACTCTTACTTTGAATTCTTGATGATTAAAATAAAAAGATTGATGGTAGACGTGTTCGTTTTTGGGAGGATCTTTGGTGTGGAGACCAGCCTTTATCTCGTTCATTTCCCAGATTATACAGTATTTCAATTGATAGACATGTCTACGTAGTTGACTGTTATCGGCTTGATAATAGTGGGATTACGTGGGATGTGCACTTTCGACGTTCTTTTCAGGATTGAGAGTTGGACGAGGTATGTGTTTTTTTGGATTTGCTGTATCGACAGGAGGCAGTTGGCAGAGGTAGTGACAATTTGATGTGGATTCCCTCTGCCCATGGTCGCTTCGAAGTTCGGTCCTTATTTTTATGTCTATCTAATTTTGATATCGTTGATTTCCTGTGGAAGACCATTTGGCGTACTATGTTCCAACTAGGGTGGCATTCTTTGTATGGACCGTTGTGTGAGGTAAGATCCTGATGATTGATAATTTAAGGAAAAGTGGTAACTGCTTTGTTAACTGGTGCTGCCTATGCAAACAAGATGGTGAGTCAGTTGATCATATTCTCATGCATTGTCCTACGGCAAGCGATTATTGGAATCTTATTTTTGGTTTGTTTGGTATGCATTGGGTCATGCCTCGTCATTCTAAGGATTTAATTCATGCTTGGAGAGGGTGCCGAGTGAGAAGTGGTGTCCGCAATTACTGGAGAATTGTACCACATTGTGTCCGGTGGTGCATATTGAAAGAGAGGAATAGTAGAATGTTTGAAGGGAAAGAGTCGTCCACGGCGACGCTGAAACTTCACATCATCCGCTCTCTTTTCAATTACATGAAGAGGAAGTCATGTTCTTCTTCCGATGATTTAATCATTTTTTTAGTTTCTTTGGGGCCTTAGACCCGGTTCCACTTTTGTATAAGGGACGTGTTCCCCTCTTGAACGCCTTTGTTATTTTATTATTACTTATAAAAAATAAAAAAAATAAAAAAGATCGAACTTCCATTATGTCAATCAATTTGGACGTACATTTTGGTTTAGTCAAGGACACTGAGTTTTATTAAGTTAATTTAGCCTAATCTAGACTAGAAATGGCTTTTAAAACATTAGACTTGACAATATCGGCCACTTGAAGTAAACTGACAAAAAAATGTCCTTGATAGCCATACTTTGACCATAGAATCTGAAATATTTTGAAATTTTTTGTTAAAGACCACGAGGGATGGCTAGGAAGTACATTTTAACAGCTCTTGAATGGTATGTGGTTGGTCTCAATCTATAAGTATTGTGATTCATATGAGTGATTTATCAAAAATAATTTTCTACAAACCTTGCATTAATTCGAACATTTCTTGAAAAATACTTGAATTTTCTACACCAAATTAATTTTAGAAGAAAGCAGACTTCATAAGCTTTCCGATGATAATTTCTTTGCAAAAATCAGAGTTGGATGGCCAAGATATGATTTTCAAAGTTGAACGTGAGGAAAACAATTTTAGATTCAAAGAACATGAAGAACACAGAAAAGACTAGAGTTGCGCATCTATCAACTTCCGACTTCCCTTTTCTGACATTATGTGATCTGGGCATCGATTCCTCAGATTTGAGAATGGCCTGAAAACTTCCTAGATTCTGCCTCCAATCAAGTTTGGCACTGAAGGATATTTAAGGAAGATTTACACCCCAAAACCATAATGTAGACCCCAGCTAAACCTTCCAAATAACCTTTTCTCTCGTCCTATTCAGTTTAAGATTGTATGGCCCTCACAACCTTTAAAAACCTCAGCCAGAAAGTAATTCAACTTACCTACAATTTCCACCAAACTACCAGAAACCAGTCATCCACATCAGAGAACGAAATTAAAGTAGAATGCTTAGAAGGTTGAACTGCAAGAACCAGAAGTTTGAGTCCAAGATGTCAAATTAAATTCTTATTATATCTTTAAAGGATTGGGAGTTTGAGGACATTCTGAGAGGTCTCAACTCAGAGGTATTTGGATAAAACTTTGATTAAATTTCATATATTAATAACTTTTGCAACGATTTTAATCAGTTTTGTCCTATTTTAGGAGTAAGGTCATGAATTTCAGTTTCATGATTGTTTAGTTATCTTTCTATGGTTATGGTCTGCTATGCTTAATAACTAATCTCTGTTGAAACCATGCATGATTCGGTGGTGGAATTTTAATCTCTATTTTGACCTAATTTTCATAATATTATTCGTCATCTGTGAAACATTTTAATCATGTTTCAGATGTTGTTTCATGTGATTAGCGTCACACAGGTCTGTGGATTAGGAAATATGAAAACCGGTTAATTTAGGACTTCGGTTGGGTCTAATTACTTTCTCCTTTGCATAAATCTTGGCATGTTAGGCATAAGAATATGATGATTTACTTATGTTCAGATTATGGTAGTATTTTGATATTTCCAAGGGAAAAACTCAGGTTGACAAAGCAACCACTTTGTGCAACAAAGCCAAAGGGTAAGTTTGTGGTCTTTCCCTCCCAGCACCCCATGTAGGCTAGATCTGCTCTGGGTCCTTTGGTATTTTCACTTTTATTATTCCCGCACTTGGCTTAAGGGATTGCATGCATAAAGGTACACTCCCTTCCCTCATCTTAATCTATTTTTGTTGTTCCATGTGGTATGTCTATAATTAAGCATGATTTCCATAGTTTCATTTTAAGCTGTTTTATCTTCACACGATTTGGGACCCAAGGAACAGGCTCTTTTTTTTTTCTTCTTTTTTTTTTTTATAACCCAGAACTCCCTGAGGCAGGGCCCTTCGGACCCACCCCCAAGGCACCAAACTAGAGATACCGCAACCGGCCTCACAGCTACAGCACCAGGTTAGTCGACGAAACTAGAAGGCTTGGTAGAGGACTCGAACACTGGCCTCTTATGTGCCAGGCCCAAGCCTCACCATCACTGCTAGCCCGCCGGGGGCCCCAAGGTACAGGCTCTTTATCATTGACTATACATCTATGACAGTTTGTAATTGCTATGTAATATTTTGTATCCATGACTTGTGCATTTTTTTTATATTGATTACATGATATTTGTTAATGCAATTATTTGAAAAATATTATAGAATTTGAACATTGGGACTTGGGAGTGAAGTAGAGACTCATCTTTAATGTGGCAAGAGGGTCCTTTGGTGTTCAACCCTTCCCATCCCACACCTTAATCACTGAGTCCAATTCTTGGGTCATGAAAATTTAGAGAATTAAGGTGATTTTTTAGGCTTCTAAAACTAAAATGACAATTTCATCGAAAATGGTAGTTCATTTATTACACAGCCATGGTGAGTGTTTGTTTACACATTGGGTCACATCCTGGCTTTGATCTAATGATACATAGGAATGTGGACTTTCAACTCTGCCTAAGTCGTGCTTAGCACCTTATCTTTATACCACAAGTCCAAGCTCAAATAAAGGAGTCAGGTTTTGTTAGGCAGGTCAAGAACCCAAACAGTTGGGATAATGCTTTATTTAATTATGTTCAGTTGGTTATGCGAACTTTTCAATTGTGAGCTATTGCAATTATAGGACCCATGTGATTGAATAAGTGACCCTATTAGTGGGCTTTCTGTATAAATGGCTTAAGTCGTATTTAGCTTTCCATCTTGGCCTTTTTTGTTAAAGTTGGGAAGTGAGAACTACCTCAAACCCACATCTACATGCGGACCAAAAAGCACTTTGGTTACTTTAATTCAGGTCCATAGATGTCCATAATCTTGGACCAAACCAGGCGCAAACATGTCGTGTACTTGCTATGGTTTCCCTGTGCCACCCAACACCGAACACTTCAACATTATTTTAATATATCACATAGCTTACAAATCTTATTAGTCAGGTTATTTGAACAAACTAAAATGAATGTATCCTTTATAATACCTATCAAGTTAGCATGTTCAGCAGGTCTCTAACCAATCCAAACATTAGAAAAAATCATTACCACATCTATAAACATAGCAAACTCTTTTATCAATTTTTTTTGCAAATAAAAGTGATATGCTTTTTTTTTCTTTCTTTTTTTCTAAGAAAGCACACCATCAGTGAAATTAAAACACATTACATTCAACATAGACCTATCCAATCCACACATATGAATTGATTCTAGCTCTAAATTAATAATACCTGGAGAGCCTATCCACACATATGAATTGATTCTAGCTATAAATTAACATTACCTGGAGAGCCTCAAAACTTATCGCAGGGCTTGTTCCAGGTTCAGAATGTCGAAATATGGTAGATAGAACACCAGACATCCCTTGAGTCTTAACAATACCTGGAAAGCACTTACACACGTGCATATACATCAAAATTTGATGAAGATTACATTTATATGCTCAGAATCTACAGATATGTAAAACAACATCAGTCAAGCACTCAACAGTAATATATGATATATGATGTTATGATCATTTTACAAAAAAAACCTATGGTTTTCAATCAAACATGTGATCAATTTACAAAAAAGAAGAATGTGACTTTCAATCAGCCAGATATTACTATGAGCCCTATAAAACTTGAATAAGCTTTATAGGGAAGCTGACCAAGACAAGTGATGGTATCAACTCTCAACCACAATTTAAAGTTGTCAAAAGCAACAAAATTGAGTTATTTTACCTAGAAACAAAAAATATGCATTAGGGATGATATTTATGCCAGAACCCTTCCATTTACAACCAACTCCACCAGAAGCTTAGTTAACAAGGAAAGGGCCAAACAATATGTATTACGGACTAATACATATTCCATGTGTGTGTGTTCATTGTAACGAACTGCACATTGCACATAGGATGGTGTTCGTGAAACATCAAATACACATACATTATTAAGAGATAAACAATCCCCACCCTCCCATCCTTTGGTGTGTGTGTGTTGGGGTTTGGTGGGTGCAAAAGACAAAAGCTATAGAAGTTTCTGTTATATCACACACTCCATAAAAAACGTACTTAGAGACCAAAAACTAACCTCTTGATAGTTCTTCTACAAACATGTCTCTGACTTTCAGTGAGGAAGGTGAGACAGATAGAGCTGCCGTCAAGCAATTAATAGCAGTAGCCTGTAAATAGAGGTAGGATTATGGTAGTATAGATATTAAAGATAGGCACAGGCCACATGGAAAATAACAGGTCTGGGATAACTATAAGTTAAGCATATGTCTACATAAATGCATCACACAAGCAGGGAGGGACACGGCAGGATAGGCTCAGCGCATATTTCAACATTCCTCCTGGTCTGGTTTCATGAACCTTTCCATTTTAATCAAATTTTGTTCCTTTCCCAGCAGCACAGGTATTACTGTGTAATGAGTGCAGTTCAAACTTTATCTTTTATTGGTTATACCCTGGGGATAGTAAAGCACCACTAAGGTAGGACAATATCAGACTGAAGTGGGAGCCGCTACTATATCGAAAAAATTTCAAACACAGGAATCATCCCTTTCAAACAACTAAGGAAATGATATAATGAAGCTGCTCTGTTAAACAATACTGATGTGTTAATTGGCAGATATGACCTGGTCCGCATTGAATATTTATTAAAAAATATGACGTTATTGAAGGACTCCATACAAGTGATGGCATTGCTATTTCAATAGTCTTAAGAGTCAAAATATTGTAAACTAAGTTTTAGACATTTAAATTGGCTAGAAAATTGAAGCCACACTGTATCCCAGAACCAGACAAAAGGTAGCAACCATGTTCTACACTGACTTGCCACTAATCTCCCCCATCCCAATATGCGCAAGATAAGGCAGAACAGCCAACCAATATAGCTCACTATTTGCCATCCCTCATCTTAGAAAGATCCAGATATTATATTTGAACAATACTAACCTTCAGACCAGTCTGATCACTTCTAAACGGAAAGCCCTCTTCAATCCTTGCCCGAAGAGACGAGATTACAGTTTGCAACAACTCCCCAGGCATTCTTGAATATCTGTAGAACGATCACAATTGCAAGTACGGTTAAACAGGTACATGCATACATTTCTAAACGGGATCAAATGAATATTAGTATTCAAAGTATAAAATTGGAATTGTTAAGACTTATCAAAGTGCTTGGTTGGCACTCAGTTGATTGGATGGGAATAAATTATTTCTATGACTGAATTCAGTCATTTCAATTATTATAATTCTATTATATAACTACTAAAAGAGTTCCCTGCGAGATTTAATGAAGATTAACCCTATACGCCTGTTGATCAATTCCATTACCATTTGAAGAAGACTTAGTGAAGAGGCTAAGGTTTGGTCCATAATCTGTGATTTCAAGATGACAAGACGAGACTGAATAGGCAAGAATTGATTCTTGGGTAAATAATGCCGACCTCCCCTGTGGTCAATTGAACATACACCGTTCTCCCCTATGTTCTCAAAAATTACACTATCCTCCTTTGTCAAACCTTGTCGCTAGATGGTGTTAGCGGAAGTTGAGTTAAAATATTTTTAGTTGACCATTCAATATTTTTTTTTAAATCATAAAAACCATTGTCTTAATTTTTGCCCCATTCTCTCCGTCAACAAATCAATTCCAGCACATTGAATCTGAAACATATTCCATCGACCTTCACTTAAACATGAGAACAAAGGAGGAATCAAAATATTACAATGTTAATAACTATTCTACAACTCATGTTTTTGCAACATTTTCCCTATAATTTTCTTCCGTAAAGCAATCAAATATCAATCAAAGGGTATTAACCACTGGTACCCCACTGGACCTACTTCCCACGCGTTGTGGCAGAGAGCATATAGGAACCTTGTACCCATAGGAAAAAGGCATCTCTGGTAGCATTCCATTCTGATTCCAAGTCGAGGGATCTCACACACTAATGGATAGCTCCAGCCAGCGATAAACACAGATGATAATGGCATGGTTGGGGGGTATCGATATGTCTATAGCAAGTGAGTATTTCCATGTAGGGTTTGATGATTAACACAGAAGAATGCAATGATGATGGATGGATAGAATGAGTAAGGCAGAGGAAAACAGGGAGAGAGAGCTTGTAGATGTGGCCATTGTTGCATATGGCGCCTTAGAGGTAGGCAGTGAAGCCTAAGCAGAAGTTGGGGAAGGTGGATTTAATCTATTTATTGAGCCCTGTTTTGAGAAGTTGGGGAAGGTGGAACAAAAATCACTTGAGTACCCTGATCTCCATCTCCTACTTTAGCCAGAATGTGAGAAATAGCACTAACAAAACCAACATGGTTTATTAAATAGGAAAAACAAAAAATTGTGCCTGTGAGAGAGTGATTCTTACGGTGTGGATGATATCAGAAGGATGAGAATTTTGAACAAGGACGCCAGCAAACCGCTATGAGTTTCATGCTGGATTAAGTACAAAATACCTACACCATAAATAACAATGATAATAATTGAGTAATTAAACAATGAAAATTTATTATGCAGAGAAACACTATACGAGTAAAACGGGGACTAAAATAAGGCACCAAAGAGGAGGTTCGGCTTGCACCAAAATAAAATGCATAATATAGCCAAATGCATCTCAAATACCTGCATGAAGTTGCATTAGTATGTAACCAAGGGAGCTCGAAAGTGCTGTAAAAGATCCACATTTAGTGGTTTCCTTGTATTCCGCTACCTGGAGAAAAACAGATGCAGGTCCATCCAACATTGTCGCAAGGGTAGAGGCAGATGCAATCCGTGCCTAGGTACCACAAAGTGAAACATGTAAGTTAAAGCATGACTAGGTACCTCAAAGTGAAACATGGACGCTTGGAGAAACATGAGTAAGTACAAACAAATTCATGAAAATAACTCCTCCTTGATGGAGCAAATACATTTGATGGATCATTGAACAAGTAACAAAGAGACCTGGGTTACTGGGTATACTTTGCACGTGTAAAAATGATTCAAAAAGAATGAAACTGTTGATATCAACCATATATAACAGAAAATTCAGAAATTATACCTTTAAGTATGGATCAAATAGTAAGCATGTCATTAAAGTTGCTTCATACTTCCTGAAAGAGTTATGTAAAGAAATGAAGATTGAGAAAACTGGGATCCAAGAACATAAGCAATTAAAATGAATAATAAATAAGCATTATAGTTCAGTTAGGAAAGGAGGAAATATAATGTCTCACCTTGGCTGTAGCACATCACTGGAGGGCAATAGCATTGTCCATTGGGCAGTAAAAGATTTGGGATCAGCTCGACAAAGATCCTTCACCAAATTCAAGGGTGAAATGTATTAACACTTAACGAATTAATTGTTTTCAATCCTTAGTAACATTTTTCTTTACATAAATCTTTCAGGGCATACTATCGATAATAAACGGGGATCATTACCTAGTGTGATGGTAACAGCTTGGACTGACAAAACTAAGTTTGCAAATTCTAGTCTTAAAACAGCCACTTTGTGCAAAATAATGCCAAAGGTTGGGCATTCCAATCTTCCCCTCCCAGCACCCTGTATAAGTGGGACATACATTGGGTAATGCTGCACTTCATACTTGTATTATAATCCAACATCAATTCCTTCAACTCTTTTTTCTCCAATACACCTCTAGCGGTTTGGAGACTATATACATTCAGTTTAATTGGGGGTAGAGGTCTCTCCTATAAAAACTCAATCTCCAACTTCAAAAACCATTCTTAACTTGTTGATGACTGCATACTCAGTATAATGATCTGACATGATTTCTAATGCAGAACTGCAAGATGATCAGTTCTTGAACTTGAAGGAAATACTTTTTACTATGAAAACAGAAAGAGATATTCAAATTACGTTTTTTTGTGGCCAGAGGGAAAAACTGAAAAGCCTGATATTTGGAAAGATGCAATTAATTAAAGATCATCACTCTCCAATCTGTGTTCAAAAGAATAAAATCACAACACGAGAAATAACATCTTGGGAACTTTATGGATAAGAACAAAACATAGGACACATCAAGTGGCCTTAAGCAAAAGGTCTAGCTCACCAACTTAATTTTCTCAACTATGAATCTCACTTGACTCTAAAGTTTGTAGTAACAAATCTGGACAAGCATTGTGCAAATGTTTGATCACCACACTGAAATCTAGCCAGAAAAACTTCCTATCAAGTGAGTTAATTATCTTTGCCTTGAGAAGGGGAAAATAAAGGTACTAATTACGTTATTCAAGCAGTACCAGAAAATTGAGAAGTATGTTATCCAAGAGACATCCAAACAGCAATTTGAACAATCTATAAACCACCAGGATATGAGTATAGTGTAAAATATAAGTTGTTGTGAGCCTACCTGTATGCAAACAATGGCAGCCACTCTAGCCTTAGAGCTGCAAATGCTGTCAGCATCTTTTGCTGATCCATCACTGTCACTGTAATCTGAATCTGATGATGTATGATCAATTATAGAAGATTCATGATCCGAGAAACTCGAAGATTCCCAAGTTTTCGGCTGCTGCAGATTATCCCGGCCTTTTTTGCGCAAGTGAGGAGGCCTATATGGACCACGATCTAACTTACTAGATTCTACTGAATCTAACTTAAGACTCATTGAAGTAAGTTCCTTCTTATGACCAGCTATTGGACACATAAGTTTGGGTCTTTTAGTAAGGCCATAGACAAAAAACATCCGCAAAGCTGCTACAAAACCCGCCACCTGTAAAAATATTTTATAACCATAAGTGTGAAAAACAAAGCCTGTATATATATATGTGTGCGTGTGTGTGTGTGTGTGTGGCAAATACTTGATCTAAAATCCCATGACACAGTGCATTTTCTTTTTTTCTTTGAAAAAGCTGAATGCATTTACTTACATGGTCTGAAAGGGGTCCTTTAGGATCTACAAGAACCAAGTGCAGGCAATGCAGAAGTGAAGTATAAAACCTGCAAAGAAGAAGTGCCACAACAAATCATATGGTTGACAAATTCATAAAGGAACTGAAAATATAAGCAACATTTGATGGCAAGGGAAGAAAGGAGGATACCTGGCCATGACATTGTCTTCCACAAGCAGGTTCCTAGATGCTAAGACATCCATAACTTTTTTAAGAACCTAATTTACAACAAACAAAAGTAAGCCAACCATTACAAATGGATGTTATCAATGTCAACCAAGACGAGTATGCCTACCTCAATTGTTGACTGCCAGGTTTCAAGGGGGAAAGAAGACCCAACTCTTGAAAAAACTTCACCAATCATAGTGAACGCAACAGTCTGAACTTCCCATAAACTGTTGTATCTAGGCATTCTGTTTCCAAATTCAGCAGCACAAGTTCGGTTGCCACTCAAGTAAGATGAGCAGAATAACTCAGCATGGGAGGATGCAACTGTGCTGAGAAGGAAATTCAATAATTGTGTATTTTCTGATAGTGAACATTTTCTTTGATACACACAAATAAGACATCTGAAATAAAAAGGTCATAATAAGCCTCAGCATATATTTCAAAAAAAAAAAAAAAAAAAGAAGCAGCAGCTACATGCAGCATGCATGAGCAACTCTAAAGAGAGGTGACAAAAATAATGGGAAAAGATTCACTAGATCTGAAGCTGAACCGAACTTAGAACAAGTTATAACTTACAACTGACAGGCCTTCCCTAAGATGCAAATACTTTGGCCTTTTCTTAAGTGATACCATAGGAACAAAACAACTAGAGGAAATTGTCCACATACCTAAACAATGATGCATGGCATAAATGAGTATTCAAAAAAAGAAGGATAGGAGAACTAACTTTATAGTCTCTAAACATTGCTTTATAGCTCTAATTACACTAACATTCCCTAAAAACACTCTCTTTGTACTAGCTTTGCCACTAAAAATCTCCATCATCCTTCCATAGGAATCAAGCACGAGTGTCCACGAAGATGAATTTATTTCAAGGGAAACAAGACGGCTAAGATAATGGATCTGCAACAAAGAAGAACAGTGAGATACAGATTTTGAGCATGCACAGCAAGAATGTTAATAGTCACCCACAAAAAACAGTGTAAAGCTAAAACTTGCATTTTCCTTCAGCACAAACGGGTGCATCTTAATTATTATTAAAAGTGATCTACACTGATCAAATATTATCATTCTAAATACTAATTCCGTGAGGAAGAATTTGTAAGGCCATCGTATCAGTTAATGGACATTTAAATCTACCAGGCATGCACACAGACACAACAGATGAGATATTGATCAAGGATGGAGGGACCCAAACTTGATATCAAAAAACTCTTAAATGAATGTGGTCGACTATTTGCTAAATGTCAAATTATAATAATAATAATAATAATAATAATAATAATAATAGCAATAAGTTTCCAGCATTTGTGAAAAAATTCATCTCTCATACGCAGTTGGAATTGGATCCAAAAAGAAATTGTTCTTCAACTTCTAATTAACCATAGTGCCAGTTATGGAAAAGTACAATATTGTCCGCTTTTGGCTCCCCCAGACCAGAGACTTCCCAGGGGGTCACCCATCCTGGTACTACTCCAGCGCACGCTTAACTCCGGAGTTCTGACGAGTTCACGGCCATCACGGCTTTAAAACACATTGTGTCATAGAAGGATGTTGAATCTACATATAGAACTTGCCTTTTCCGCGCCCAAACGATGTGGGATTGTGCACGAGGAGCTCGCCCAATGTGGTAGCCTGCCAATGTCTCGCACTCGCCCACATAGGTCGCCACAATCACCCCCCTTTTGGGGCCCAACGTCCCCATTGGCCACACTTTTGGCTGGATCACGCTCTGATACCATTTGTAACAACCCTCCCCCTAGCCAGACACAATATTGTCTGCTTTTGGCTCCCCCGAACCAGAGACTTCCCAAGGGTCACCCATCCTGGTACTACTCCAGGTTAAATACACTTAATTCCGGTGTTCTAATGGGTTCACGACTTTAAAACACGTTGTGTCATAGAAGGGTATTGAATCTACATATAGCACTTGCCTTTTCCACACCCAGGCGGTGTGGGATTGTGCACCTGTAACTCGCCCAGTGTGATAGTCTGCCAGTGTCTCGCACACCCGCCCACATAGGTCGCCACAACATATAGAAGCAAGTACCTCAAGCTCAAGCACCATAAAATTCCTTAGCGTATTAAAACAAATTACTATCACTTTCTATCAGTTGGATTTTGAAAAATTCTACCTCTATTGTCTGGTTACATTCTCTTGTGACCTATTAAGGTCCCAAAACGGCAATTCTTATCACTATCCAGGAAATGACACCATGATAGCACATCATTTGTGCTATAAATAGTAGTCTCTCCTATTAGTCTAAAAGGGCATTACCCAGTTTTAGCCCCGTTTACGCAAGGCATCATACACCTCTTCTGTAGCAGGGAATGACTTAACATTTCAAGAGTTTGTTCATGGAGGGAACCCTCCACATATCGATCCATGGACAAACTGATGTAGGACAGTTTTAGTAGGAGTATTTTTATTTATTTGTTTGTTTTTAATTTTGAGAGAATTTAAGTTTAGGTAGTTTTCTTATGTTTTAATTTTCTTATTCTATTAGTTTCCTTGTAGGATTAAGCTTCTTGGTAACTAAGTTTTTACTTTTCTTATAAATATATGTATTGCAAAGTGCAGAATCAATTTTATTCATTCAATTATCAATACAAATATCAAATTTCTCTGAATTTATCCTTCATTTTATGGATTCAAGACACCCTACTTTATGGATTCAAAGTAACCCGTTACTTATAAACAAATTTATCGCTTCTGCTTACGTCACAAATCTCCATGTGTGGTGTGATAACAGATCCTAGAAAGGATCATTGCAACTCCCTGTACAGACGAACTAAAGGTATACCTAATGCTTGGCATTGTTTTGCACAAAGTGTTTGCTCTCATTCAAATTTAAATTCGCATATGCTTATCAACCTAACCTTTAGCCATTGCACCACCAACAATAAACTTGAATTCAATATGAATTACCAAAAATAATCCTGCCAATAGCAAATATTTGATATTTTCAATTGTAATGCAACATTTAGGAAAACAATTGTAATGTGACCTGAACACATAAAAGAACATCCATTTCTGCTAAGTCCTACGTAATTGTTAGCCGAGATATGTTAGCCTATAATTGTGGGATTTGAGGGCGTAACTAGTGGGAGTGATTATTGTCATAATTAGTGGGATTTGACCATGTAATTATTGTAAATATATTTCTGACTAATAAAAATACGCGGGTGTTGTCAAAATATAACATTTTTCTTCCATCTACAAATTTCAAACATGTGTATGAAGGGAAATGGTCTGAGGAGACATTATTGGTTATTTATGATCAAAGAAGACATGGTTAGTTGTTTACGGTCTGAGGAGACATGGTTGGTTGTTTATGTCTCAGGAGACACTTTGATTAGTTGGTCGGCACTTCATCTGAGAAAAAATCATCTCCGATCAGCTTTGCACTCTGAAGCTTGCAGAAATTCTGACGAAGGGTGTTAGGAAGATCATGTTTGAAGATGCATTATCTAAGTTAGACGTCTCAGATATCCACGCACCAACTTGAAGGGAAGTGTTAGCTGAGATGTGTTAGCCTAAAATCATGGGATTTGTGGGCGTAATTATAGGGATTTGACCGTGTAATTATTGTCATAATTAGTGGGATTTGACCGCGTAATTATTAAAATAATTAGTGGGCGTAATTAGTGGAATTTGACAAATTATATTTCTAACTAATATAACTATGTGGGTGTAGATATGTCAGAATATAACCCTTTGCTTACAAATCTCATTCAAGCCCTTACATGTTTCTTTTGTATTCCTTGTATCTTGTATTTCTTTTGTGATAGTCCTCAACTTTGAGAAATTCGGTAAGCCCTCGCCTCAAAGATCCAAGAATTACACCATTACTAATTCTAAACTAAGCATAGAAGCACCCTAAGTAATAAGACCCACTAGTTAATCAAGATTATGCAACAACAACAACAAAAAAACCAAAACAAAACAAAATACAGCTAGATTATTGATTCAAGGCACTCATTCTACTTGGGACCTTCAAACAGTGAAATCTTTAACATTTTTTTTTTTTTAATCAGTAAGAATATATTAGAAAGCGTTCAAAAGGGGAACATACATGGTTTTGTGAAAAGCATTTTTTTTTTTTTTTTAATAAGTAAAAGTCGATTAAAAGAGCGTTCAAAAGGGGAACGTGTCCCAAATACAAAAAACAAAAGTTGAACCTAAGGACCAATAGAGTCCAAAAGATCAACTAAGTCATCAGTCGAGGAGAAAGTGCTTCCTCTCACATAATAGAAAATAGAACGAAGAATATGAATTTTCAAGGTCGCCAAAGACGATTCCTTTCCTTTAAAATTTATGTTTTTTTTTATAAGTAAAAATATATTAGAAAAACATTCAAAAGGGGAACGCGTCCCTAATACACAAAAACGAAAGAGCAAAAGCCAAACCTACGAACCAACAGAGTCCAATAGAACAAAAAAGTCATCGATCGAGGAGCAAGCGCTGCCTCTGACATAACAGAAAAGAGAGCGTAGGATAAAAGACTTAAGGTTTGCAAAAGACGATTCCTTCCCTTCAAAGTTTATGTTATTACTCTCTCTCCAAATACACCACCAAACACAATGTGGGGCGACCCTCCAAAAATCACGAGCATAACCAGAAACAGGGCATCTTCTCCAAGCATTAATTAATTGATGTTAATTAACCAGAAACAGGGCATCTTTCCTTTAAAATTTATGTTATTCCTCTCTCTCCATATACACCACCAAACACAGTGTGGAACTATCCTCCAATAGTCACGAGCGTGACTTTTCACCCTATGGAGGACTGAGGCATTACCCAATGTAGGCCAAAACTACCGAAGATCAGGTTCAAACAATCATGCCACAAGACAATGCATAAGAATGTGATCCACAGACTCACCGTCTGTTTTACATAAACAACACCAATTAACAACAGTGTTACCTCTCTTTCTCAAATTGTCCAACGTCAAAATCTTGCCCCAGACGGCAGTCCAAACAAAGAATGCGACTCTAAGTGGAGCCTTAGAAGGCCATATAGTGTTTCATGGGAAATCATGACCAACGAAATTGGACAGACAAAAGAACATGGACCGAACACCAAATCTACCATAGGTGGGGGGGACCCACAAAATGTCATCAGTACCTCTGCCAACATCCCTCTGCTGATACAACAAATCCAAAAAAACACATACCTCGTCCATCTCCCAATCCTGAAAAGAACACCTAAAACGCACATCCCACGTAACCCCACTACTATCAAGCCGATAACAGTCAGCTACGCAGGCGTGCCAATTTTCGGCAATACTATAAAGTCTAGGAAAGGAATGAGACAACAACTGATTTCCACACCATAAATCCTCCTAAAAATGAACACGCCTACCATCACGAACCTTGAATCTGATGTGTGAGGAAAAGACATCCCACCCCTTCTGAATGAATTTTCACACGCCGACGCCTCCCTCAATAAAGACTGGATGGGAGGACCAACCACCACTCTCCTGCCCAAAATGACACCAAACAATCCTTCTCCACTGACGATGTCATTCCCTACCGAATCTCCCGCAACATGGTGTTGTGAAAAGCTAAAGCAATAAGTCCGTGCCAATTAAGGATAAGGATTGTATTGAAGACTAAAGCTAGAAAGAGATTAGAGGTGGCATTGTGGAAAGTTAAGAGTTTGGGTCCCATGTCAATAGAGAAGACCTTTCAGTCCAAAAGGAAGCACCCATGGTGGCAAGTCGAATCTTATTTTATGCTCATTTTAATAAAAGACGCTACTGAACAGATTTTGATTCTTCTTCATTCCAGCACTACAAGCAAGTTTGTTTGGGCTCCTAGAATATGGCGCCCTTGGGGATTTCTATTTGATTGTATCGAAAGGCCCAATGAATTGGGATTTCCCTTTTGCGCAACCTTATACTAATTGATGAAAAATAAGTGCGAAACAGGATTTATACGTTCAAGAAGGGAGATAAAAAGGGTACTTGACAAACTTGAGGAAAGTGAAAGATAGTGAGGTCTAAATGGATAGAGAGAGACGAGGTAACCTGTGTTTTTTTATTTTTGGGTTAATTCCACCTACACCCCCTGAGGTTTGTCAATATTCTACTTACACCCCCTCAACATTTCATAATTCCACCCACCACCCTTGCCAGTGACGACCGTCTACTTTACTAACGGAAATGAGCAATTTTACGATATTGCCCATGAATTATATATTAATATTTATATAAAGGTATATCTAAGAGTAAAATTACCGGACTGAACTTTAGTTGTTACTAAAGTGATCCCAACACTTCATTTTTTTGGTTCCATACACAAAACCCAAATACGATAAAGAGAGAAGGCAAGAGACAGTGAGAAAGAGAGAGACACAACCCTATTTTGTGTGATTTCTTTGCTTCAAATCATGTAATCAAACCAAACGAAGAACGTAATCAGAGCGAAACAGGGTTTGATTTGAAGAATGATCGCTATTAGGGCTTGGTGACTATGAACGATTGCGATTAGGGCTTTCTGAGCACGAGGTATGTATAAAACGTTGTTTGCCTGTTTAGATTTTAGGGTTTGTTGTTATGATTTTGGTTTTTCTGTTTTGATTATATTGATCGCAAACTAGGTTTTCTGACTATGACGTTGACTTGCAATTAGGGTTTCTTGTTAAGATTTTAGGCTTTACTATTATAAACCATCAATATATGACTTGTATTACTTTCATAATTATTGTTATGAAATTTAGGTTTTTTTTTATAATTATTTGAATTTATATGTTTTCTGTGCCTTCTTTTTTCTTTTTCCCGAGTTATATTTTTTGTGCTTTCTTTTTTCTTTTTCTTTCAACACACTTGCACAATTTCCTCATTTTCTGTATGGTGGGTTTGCTTTCTAATTTATCAATATTATTGCGTCAATGTTCGGATTGCCATATATGAATGACTTCTTTAAATTTTTTATATTTTAATGGCTGGGGTTTATAAATTAAGATAAATTGTGTCTATCATTGAATGATGTTTAAACTTATCATTTAGTTTCACTTAATTATTGTGTTATGAAATCTGTAGAGTTTTCTAGAGCAATATTTTGGTGTATTTGTAGTCGTTTCTCTTGCTCTGGCACATCAATGAAGCAATTGAGACTTTCTGATAGCTTATCATAGATCTCCATCATCACAAATAATTTCTTATGCTAATGAATTTTTGCATAACTCCATTGAGACATTGTTTTTGGATCTGAACTGGTTTTTTTTTATCTTTTTTCTGAAGGAAGTTGCATTTTCACGCATATTATAGAGTAATAGTTGTTGTTGTTGTTTTATTTTAAAAAAATTTCCCCAGCTCAGTTCATAAAATGTGTTGTTATTAAATAGTAGTAGTTTTTTTTTTTTTTTTTTTTTTCTTTTCCAGTCTAGTTCATAAAATGTACTGTTATAAACTTGAGCCTTGCTTGAATTTCATATACTTATAAACTTGAGCCTTACTTATTTTTTTATCTCATGAATCATTAATATACTTATATATCTTACTGTTAGGAAAAAGAAGCTACAAGAGAGAGTGGGAGCTAAGTGCCATCACAGAGCAGAAAAAGTCAGTCCCATCATAGAGAGGAGAGTATGCAACTCCAAGTTCAATAGGAAAAGGAAGTCAAAGGGCAGCTCAATCAAGGCTAAGCACACAACAGAAAGGAAAAGGGATACAACGGGTATTTGTAATGGTTTTGTTTTAATTGAAAACTAATTCATTTCTATGTCTTAACATATGTTTTTTGTTATATCTGACAGTCGCATAGAGGAAGTGGTTCTGTTGCTCCAAGTGTACAGAGAAGAAAAGGGATTGGAGGTCCAACAAATGCACAAACTAGAGGAATAGAAAGTCAAGGAAGAGCCCAATCAAGGCCAAACACACAACAGGTATCTTGTAATGGCTTTGTTTAATAAAAAACTAATTTATTTATATGTCTTAACATATCTGTTTGTGTTATGTGTGAAAGTCAAGAGGAAGTGGTTCAATTGCTCCAAGTGTTGTACAAAGAGGAAAAGGGACTGCAGATCCAACAAATGCACAAACAAAAGGAATAGGAAGTCAAGGAGCAGCCCAATCAGGGCCAAACACACAACAGGTATCTTGTAATGGCTTTGTTTAATAGAAAACTAATTCATTTCTTTGTCTTAATATATGTTTTTAGTTATGTGTAACAGTCAAAGAGAGGAAGTGGTTTTGCTGCTCCAAATGTAGATAAAGGAAAAGGGATTGCAGGTCCATCAAATGCACAAGGAAGAGGACCCTCACTAGGACCACATAAAGGAACAGGTGCACAAATTAGTTTACCACAGAAAGGGAAATACATACCTGTATTTGCCCAATGGGGAGCCAAAGGAAATGGGTTGGAGGATCTCAGAATCCAAGAAGTACATAAAATGAAGACTTCATTTGGCAGTATGTGTCATATGGGACAATTGTAATGTTGAAAAATGATGTTTGTTAGTATTTTGCATTATGTTTGTGTTGGTTTGTTTTTGCAACTTGAAAGAACAATATGTTTTGTAACTTGTGTTTATGGTTTAGGTTGGTATGTTTTTGTAGCCATTATATGGCATACTATACTGGCCTTTGTCTTGGATGGAATGAAATGAATTAATTGTTCTTTTGCATTAGGATTTCATCTAGTACTTGAGTTTCTTCAGCCATTAGATGAGTGTACCTTAGATGAATTTTTTTTTCATTGCAAAATTGAATCAAATGAATGAATGAAATACTACCCAACTGTTTGCTTCTTTCCATTGCCTACAATATAATGATAATATTATCTCAGAATTGAGTCAGGTAGTATTTCATTGAGGGAGCAAAGTGTATGTCCATAAATTGATCTCAGAACCATTACCAACCCTCCATTTCCAACCATAAATAATAAACACAACTAATATATGCACACATATATATATGTACGTGCCTAAGTGAAGGGCATTGTTGTATTTTAGAGTTAATAGGTCAATGGTAGTTTTGTAATTCTGCAATAGTCAATAAGGTTAAAAATATCATTTCAAGGATTGGAAGGGCAAAATTGACCTTCTATCCATTTTTCCTGCTAACATCAGCACAAACCATCAGTTACTTAACGGCAGGGGGTAACTTAATACGTAAACCCAAACTTCAAGGGAGGTAGGTTGAATTATGAAACGTAGAGGGGGTGTAAGTGGCATATTGGCAAACCTCAGGGGGTGTAGGTGGAATTAACCCTTCATTTTTTTTAGGTGTCAGTGATGCTTTAATAATTTCTATATTGTTGGGCACAAGCTAGATTCATAAATCTTATTTTGGTAAAATAATTTTAGTAAGTCTTCATACATAGTCTTTGATAGATTTTTCGTAGTTTTTGAGGCCCTATTTCTGGTCAAAGTATGAGAATTGCAGCAGCCAATAAATATCCAAATAATATTTCTATGCAATAGAATTTGAGATTGACTAATTTATGATAATACCTAACCTTAGGGGTGAACCCTAAAGAAATATAGGTGACTCGTAAATTCTTCTACTTCTGTTCTCTTCTCTTCTTTTTATCTCAATTGCTGTTTGTGGATTACTGTTCATAGCCATAGCCTTTAATTTCACACCAAAAACACTAGAGTACTAGTCGTCCAGAATTTCCAACAACCAATTTTCAGCAATTCCAGCAACCTATTGCCTTTCAAACAAGTGCATTTCAACCCTTTTTCTGTCCACGATTCCCCAGTATATCTCTTTGTCGCAAATCTAATTGTTCATGCTTTCCCTAACCTTTGCTCACCATTGAAACTTTCTTTTAATTATGGAAGAATACCGAAGATTGCACCGTAAGTGTTTGTTGGTGCTATGGTTATTCTTGCATACGGTGAAGGATTGCTAAAAATCAGGTGACTGCTAGAGTGATGTCCTGGTTTAAATTAACGTTTTATCAGAGAAAGAGTGTGTGTCAGTGTGTGTGAATATTGTACTTGCTAGTTGCTAGCAAGATGCAAGTGAACAGATATCTTTTTCTGCCTTTTCTATTCCCTTTCTCGGAAATTAAAAACAATTGTGACCATCAAGTATTCTTTTCCAGTTTTAGAGAATCAATGAATAAACGAAAACAACTGATTCGCAAACTGGTTTAAAAGGGAATAAAAAACTGAAATTGCCATCAAATGCGACCTAAATTAACAAGGCCGCCTATAAACGAAAAAGTAAATATTATTACCAGGTGGCATGAAAGCGTAAAGGTATCGATCAAATCGTCATTGCCTTCAGAATCAGAAGTATGTCGAACCAATTCCAACAGAAACATCACGTCGGATGTAACCTAAAACAAAGAGAGACTGAGCTGTACAGGTCCATTTCGTCGATTCTGAATGATTTAAACAATAATAATAATAATAATAATAATAATAAGTAAATTGAGGATGCTTGTTACCTCGTGAGGAGGCAAGTTGGGGGCGGCGGCGATCAAATTGTCGGATTGGGAGAAAATGTGATGGTGAAGGAGGTTGGCGACGGTGTTGCGCGGCGGAGAGTTTAGGGTTTCGTCCCTGAGGGTCAGAAACGCCGTCCTCCATGACCTAATCAGGGAGGACGATGCTGCCATTCAGGAGAACAATCGATCAACTTCTTCGACTTGAGCAACCCATAATGTCGTTTACTTGCGAATAATGTACAACCCCGTTTATGTACTCCACTCCACTGCTAACTTTGTGTTTATGCGCGAGCTGAACTGGTCTGGTTTTGTGTTGTGTCAATCTGGGATCGGAAATGGCTTGGGCTTAAGAAACAGAATTTTATTTTATTTTATTCTAATTCTTTTTCTCTTTTTTTTTTTTTCTTTTCCTTTTTTTAAGAAGATTATTTATCTTTTCGGAAACTCTTTTTTGTTTTTTTTTTTTTTTTTGGATATATTGAGTGGGGATAGGGATGGCAACGGGGCGAGTTTGGAGCAGGTTTTCCTAAATCCTGCCCCGCCCCTTTTAATTTTTGTCAAGTCCATGCCTGCCCCGAGACCCGCGACGAGTTAGATTTTCATGTCCAGCCCCGCTCCGTTGGGAAATACTGTGCCCCGTGCCCGCCCCGTTAACAAATTTTTTTCTCCCACGTTTTGGAACTTAAGCTCGTGCTATTTAAATGTGGAAAGCCTGGGAATGGCACAACATAAATGAAATTATGTATCCCAACAAAAATAAAAACCAAATCACAAAAAGTCCTAAACTTCAACTTCCACCATAACCAAAACAAAAACAAATTTAATACCAAGTTTACATCCAAAATTATGATGTAAGAGATGGGCAACTCAGTAAGCTGCTAAAATAAGTTATTAATATTATATATATATATAATATAGTTATATGCTTAGCGGGATGGGGCGGGGCGAGGCCCTTATGATATGTGTACTAAACCCTTACCCGCCTCGTGACCCACAACGGGTACAAAATTTGTATCCATGCCCGCCCCAACGGTATAAAAAGTATTCCCATATCCATTATTAATGGGGCGGGACGGGGTGGAGCCCCGGTGGGGCGGTAAAAATTGACATCCTTAAGTGGGGATGCATGTAAATTCGTTAAAACCATCAATCTAATGCAAATCATTTCAAATTTTATAGAAGACTAAAAACCAAAAGGAACCGAATCAATTTTTCATATTAAGGAATGGTTAATGTCATTCACATTAATATATTAATGGGTAAAATGCAAAAAAAATTGTTGAACTATATTTGTATTTGCAAATAACCCCTTTAACTATATTTTGTGTATAAAACTCTCTAAATGATCTCATTTTTATTGCAACATACCCCCAACTACTATACTATATTTCATTAAATGACCATAATGCCCCATCTTATTGAATTACATTTAATATATTTTTCTTATCTAAATAAATTATGAAAAATTTCATATTAATTTGATGAGATATTTTCATAAAATTTGCATAAATTTTCCTTTAAAATTTTTAATTAATTATTTAAATAAAAAATTTTAGTACAATTTTTTAAAAAAATTAATTTATTTTTTAATTTTTAATGAATATATTACATGAAAAGAAGGTATTTTTTTCAAAAGTATTTTATTAAATTTTCATCAATATATTGTATGAAAAAAATGATATTTTTTATGACAAAAATATTTAGATTGGTTATAATAAATTTTATTATAAATAATAAAGTTTAAATAATAAGTTAATCAATTTAGAAAATGGTAGTTACAAATCTATTTATCTATTTTTTCATTTTTATGATAAATTGATACTAAAAATAAAATTAAGGTAAATAATATAATTAATATTTACATAAGAGAAAATATAATAAAAATAATTTAATAAGAAATGAAAATTTTAATGAATAAGGGTAAAATAGTCTTTTGTGGTGGATTTGTCCTTAATTTCAACAAATTAATAATTCAAGGGTGGTTTTTAGTTCAAGGAGGTTATTTGCAAAAGGGCAATAATTTAAGGGAATTTTTTACACTTAACCCTATATTAATAAAATATTATTTATAATATTAGTTATTACCTAATTAATGTGATACTAGCATTTTCTAGAAACTAAAAATGCAATTTCAACTAGTAAATAAATTTGATTATATCTAGGCCATAAAAATTAATTTAAGTAAGACTTAATTTAATTAATATAACTATTGTTGGACTCTAGTACAATGTAAATTCAATTAATTTAATCGAAACATTCCAAAATGTTAACTAGAAAAAAAAATTTTAAAAATCCAAAATGTTCTTTTTATGGTTTGGATTGACTTGATTTATATAGTTATGTTTGGTTTTGTTTCAATTTGATTAAAAACCAAATCTACTACTTACCATTTAAATCATGTGCACTTTTAATTTTTACACTTCTTTCCTTTAATTCCACTTACTTCTTTTAAAATTCGAATTTGTCACAATCGGACCAATTTGTATATATTAACTATTATTTTAATAAAAAATAAATAAAATTATTCAACAAGACAATCACAAACTAACTTTGCAATTTTTTTTTTTTTTTTTTTTAATGATATCTCTTATTATTAGCTTTGAAAGAAAAACAATAAATAGAGACCTCAATAAATTACAATTCAATAATAGATAGTCTTTTCAATAAATTAAAATTACATTTCAATAATTTAAAAAAAAAAAAAAATAGTTTCTTTTTTACATAGGAGTATAAATTGTATAGCTTAACCAACAGGTAATGGGCCTAACCGTATCAACACAATGTTGGAAGGGCCGGGAGGCGTTATGACCATGTGGAGCGCTATAGCGCATCACTTAAATAGCCTGGTGGAATGCACAGCCTTGAGCCCGGCCCAATTGTCTCTCACTAGCGCACAGTTTTCAGTGTATTTCCAAGTAGAGGGAGACGAGCACAGCGTTCTCCACAGACCCAACGAGATGGCGATGAAGGAGTTGCGGGAGGCTCTGCATTTCGCTTGCACAGTCGAATTCTGGAGGATGGCGGTTTTATGGACTCTCTCTATCATCCTCTCCTATTTACATTTGTTCGCTCAAACGTTTCTCTCCCCAAATTCCGGGTCATACCCTCGTTGTTCTCCGCGTCCGGTGCCACCACCGGGAACTTCCTCCTCCGCCGCCCCTGCTCACGGAAGACCCGTATGCGTCATCACCGGCGTAAATCAACTATCTCCTTCCTTTCTCTTTACGACTAATTTCCAGGCGACGATTTCACTAAATTTGGAATTCTTATATTTGTTTGTTTGGTGGGGTTACTGATTGCAGGCGACGTCTGGTTTGGGTGCCGCTGCAGCAGATGCTCTTTCAAGGGAAGGCTTCTTCGTTGTTCTTGGTACTCTTCTTGTCTTCCTCCTCAATTTTATATTTTCATACAGATGTTTGTGGTATTTTAGTTAGTTCAATTTTGTGTGTTACATGTAATACCTTCATATTTTGCGAAAAACAACTTTCATGGTGGACCTGTCAGGCAATTGCTAGTCGGCAAACCAGGGCCAGCTTAATGACTTGATTGACTATTATATTTGCCTCTTATGAGTCTATTATTATCCTGCCATCGCAACCTATGTTCTGCCCCTGAAAAAGTGTGGTAAATCAACAATTATTTAGGGCAATGAATAATGGTGATCTATTGGGTTATGTGCTCCTGATTTTAGGAGAGATCATAAAACGATGCTTTTGGGGTGCTAGATGTGGATATTCTAGCGGGCTTTTGGGGTGCTAGATGTGGATATTCTAGCGGTTGGTCTGCGATGGATGCTACATTCTCTGTCATCATCATTGGCACCAGACCAGTTGGTTTGAGATGGATGCTACATTCTCTGTCATCGTCATTGGCACCACACCAGTTGAGCCGACTCCTATAACCGCCTCACTTGCACCATCATCAATCAATCTCCCACTATGATTACATGAGTTGCTAATTTCACTATTTTTACAATTGCACCCGCTTAGTAAATATTCTTTGAGGCATATCAACACTTGCAAGGCCAAGGCTCTTCTCTAGTTTGCTGCAGCTCTCTAACCTCTGCACAAGCATGCCTAACCTAGAGAATTACACTCCTTCATATTTGAAGGAGTATAACTCTCTAGGCATATCAATACTTGGAACGATCTCAGACCTCGCATAAGCAATTGAAGAAATTTTTAGAAAAAAAAGTTTCCTTTCTTTGGCATTTCATACCTGCCATCACTGGTACTCTTGTAAGGGCTATGTCCCCCTGCTATTGGATCAGGGTAACCAACGGACTTTTAATGGAGTTTAAAGGGCCCTTTATTATCCAGCAGCCGCTGTAGAACCTTATAGGTAGCCACTGTTCTTACTCGACCCCAAGATCTATTAGAACTCTGCTGGCTAAGAAATAGATGGACAAGAAAGGCCTGTTCATTACACAATGAGCATTGTTCGTGTTGCAGAAACTTGCTATTCTCTTATGTAGAGGCACTGTCTTGCCTCAATTTTTGCCATCAAAAAATTCCAACATTATATCCTTCCTGATGCTATACACATTTTCATGAAATGCAACCTGCTTTGGTATCTCCTCCCAAGATCTGCTCTTTTTTTACCACACATTGTAGTGGCATCTCCTTGCTGGGTTTGAAATGATTTGCATTACCCAAGGCCTTAGTGGTGGTCCTTGGTGGTGCTTCCATTCAATCTAACTAGCATAAGGGCCTGTTTGATTTCCTAATTCAACTCTGAATGCAGAAGACGGTAAGTGAATTTTAAGAATAATTGCTTTTGATAAAATTTTAGGATATCACTTGACATGGTAAGTACCACTTAAAAGAGGCCAATTTTTTAAGCAATAAAAAGGTTAGTTATCGCTTATCGCAGAAGACGATAAGTGTTTAGGTTTTAAAACTAATTTTTGAATGACTACTCTACCCCCAAATAATCACATTCTCTCTTCTAGGCTTCTCTCTGTGATTTCTGTAAGGCTTCTCTCTGCAATTTCTGTAAGGCTTCTCTCTGCGATTTCTCTCTGCGTCTGGAAACAAAGTGAGTTCTCTCGTTGAAAAACTCTTTTATATATATTTGGTTGGTTGTTATTATTATTTTTTTTTACTTTTACATAATAGAACAAAATCTTTAAAAAAAAAGAAAGAAAAAATTTACCAAATTCCCAAATAAAATAAAATAATAATTCTACTTATTATCTTTTAAACACGGGCTCTTTAGGTTACCTATTCAGATTTGTGATGTTGTGACCCGAATTTGGTACCCGACGATAAATTTTTGAACCCTTTTTACTCATGAGTCGTGGACCCTAATTAGTCTCTTGTAGCACGATATATAAGGGTGCTTAGGGTTTGGAGTGGTGGAAGAGAGAGACTCTGAAATTCGTACAGAAATAGAGTGAGGGGCTGAAAACTTGTAATCTCCGATTTTACACATAGTGAAAACTTTTGTCGGAGCTCAACCGTGAATGTAGGTTGTTGCCAAATCACGTATAAATCTTTGTGTTTTTTGTGTGATGTGTTTACTTTTCTGCCGTGATTCTTGATTTTATCTTATGTTCGTTACATTTGGCATAACTAGATTGATTCACTATAGAACGCAATTATTTATATAATGGAATTTATTCCTAGATAAGAAATATTTTTCACCTACTTTCTTTAATATTTTTACCACCCTTTTCAATACCATACATAAATATTATGTAATCCAAAACCCATATATTTTAAATTTTCATCACTTATTTATATAATAGAATTCTATTCCTAGATAAAAATTCTTTTTCACGCACTTTCTTTGTAACACCCTTTTCAATACCCTACATAAATACTATGTAATCCAAAACGCATATATTTTAAATTTTACTTTCTTTAATCTTTGTAACACCCTTTTCGATATCCTACATAAATGTTATGTAATCCAAAACCCATATATTTTAAATTTTCATCAATTTATTTATATAATATAATTCTATTTTTAGATAAGAATTATACTTTTTTATGATTAGATTTGACATTAATATTCATTGTTAAATTGATATATTTCATTGAGTGAATGTGGTTGTTTTATTAATATTTTTATATTATAAATATAAAATTGTTATAAGTACCTGATATTGAGGGCAAAAATGTAATTTGTACAACTTTTAGACTTCAGCTTTTGTATATAACAAACAATCTTAATGAATTTAGTGCTTAAAATTAAAACATTATCAAACAGGTTTTCAAATTAATATATTCAGCACTTGAAATTTCAGTGCTTAAAATTTAGTACTTGAAATTTTCATTTTTATTAAACAGCACCTAAAATATTGTTGTTGTTCTGGATGCTTAGGCAATGCTTTTTATTTTTATTTTTTTAATGAAGTTATAAAAATAAAGAAGAAGAAGTCATCTTCTATAAAGCACAACTGCTTTTCATTTGTTGATCTGACAGAATTAATAGATGTCTACATTGTGGTTGTTTCCTTGCTATTTAGATCACTGAAGAACCATTTGCTCTTCCATCTCTACAAACTCTTCTTATTTTGGCAAAATATCAGATGTGTAACTGGAATTCGTTTGATGCCTGCAGCAGGAAGATCATCTCATCTCTTGTCTAAGGTGTAGTGCGTGTACTTAGGTTACTGCTATCTGTATGTCTTTCCACTTTCTTCTTTTCTTGATCATCTTTCCTGGTTGTTGCAGGCTATATCTAATATCAGAAAACGAAACAGAGGTGCTGATCTCAAAGCTTTTGAAGTTGATTTATCATCCTTTCAGTCCATCCTGAACTTTAAAGACTCCCTTCAGCAGTGGCTTTTGGATTCAGATATGCATTCTTCAATTCAACTTCTGATAAATAATGCTGGGATACTGGCAGCATCAGGCAGATCCACCGCTGAGGGCAATGATATGTAATTATTTCCATATATTTATCTGCCTTTTTCAAAATTTGTTGGCTTCACTGTGCTGCTCAATTAACATTAGAAGTTTTTACTTGCAACACAGACACGCATGAACGAAAAGTACAACTTTACCATGTGTAGTTCCATCTTGACCAGACATGAAGACCACGTGACACCAAGTTCTTTCTGTTACGTTTTTGATTTGTATAGTGTTGCGTAGAACTAAGCAGAGTTATCGGTAAAGTTGGTGCTTTTAGAACTAAATGTAGCCGGATCTTGCTCTTTCAACTTAATCCTTAAAAGCTTTAACCCCTAATTGGATTGTGTTCATCTTTTTACCATGCACTAAAATGTTGGCATTGGTTTTTTTACATGTAAAAAGTGACTTTGGACTGTGGCATGCCAATTAAAGTAAATAAAGCATCTTATTCTCTGTGCTGTTTTGTTCTGCATCAGAGGTTCTTATGTTCCTGAAGAACTCTGTATTGCATGCTAATAGTCATTCCTATCTTTTTCAGGATGATGGGAACCAATTATATTGCTGCATTTTGTCTCACCAAAGTTCTACTACCGCTTCTGGAAAACAGCCCTGCTCCTTCCCGGATTGTTAACGTCACTTCCTTTACACATCGGAATGGTGAGATTTTATGATATGTTGAAGAAAATTTCATTAAATAGTCAGTTGTTTTGGTTTTTGACGATAACTTGCATATGAACCTCACTGAGACGAGATAACCTTGTATTCTGACATTTGTCAGCTCAGTTTAGGCCTTTCTTCTTCACTCTTGTTGATCATTGCTTTTATTCCTTTACACTTGTATCTAGGACCCTGTATGGATGTTACTGTTAGCTTCTGATACATAAAGCGTGTTACATGGTGTGCCTTGGAGAAAATAAACTGTGGTACGGATGTCAGTGCCTAAAAAGTTGTCTGACATACGTGTTGGTGTCTCCAACAGACAAAATATGATAAAATAGTTCCTCTTGTTGCATCCTATTTACATGGTGATTAACTCTTACAGGCCATACTCTAATAAAATGAAAATTGATTTTTTTTTTTTTTTTCTGTCAGTATTTGACATACAGGTTGACAAGGCAACTGTTTCTGGGAAGCTTTTCTCAAAACTAGAATGTTATCCTTATGCTCATATTTATGAGTATTCGAAAGGTAAGCTGCATGCGTCACATATAATGTTTTCTTGATATTTCATTAAATCGTTTCTAACTAACAAATGCCAAGCTTCTGTTGATAGCATGCCTACTTCTGTTTTCATATGAGCTTCATCGTCAATTTGTCCTGGTGGGAAAATCTCATCAAGTTTCCGTTAGGTATGTGTTTTATATTCTTTGTTTTCTACTTAGCTAGTACTTTTTTAAAAAAATATTAAAAATAAAGTAAATTTATGAATAGGGATTTACTTGTATGGTAATAGATTTTATTTTTTGCTTATTTAGTTATTTATTGTGTGGCTGGAAATATTTAAAAGAAATGCAAAATTGCTTTGACGTGTTTCAGAAACAAATGTTGGTTTGTTCTACCTAATTGTCTCAACCGTGTAAAATTGTTGTGCATTTATGTCAAAGGAGTTCCTGTTTCATCCTAGTTGGTCTGTTTGGTGGGAAAATAGATGAGACCAGGGGTGTGGTTGAGAGGAGAAAAAGGCAGAGGGATTCATGATTTCTTGAGAAAATTATAAAAATTGAAATTTCTTAAAATCATTTAATTAAAATTGCTGATTTCTTTAGAAAGTTATGAAATTTCTGAAACAATACATCAAGCATTTTTCGGAATTTATCCCATTAAAATACTTATCTTTATGCATTATGTGGTATCCTAATTATTTATGTGTAGCCCTTGTCATCTATTAGTGTCATGCTTCAGACAACATGATTTTGTTTTTAGGTAGTTTTGATCCATGTACATTTTTTATGTTGTCTTCTAGTTGTATAATAACATTGTTATGTTTCTTCTCGAAAGGGCAATATTTTTTACCTTGCTTTCATTTCGTCCAATTGCTTAATTTTTGTGTCTTTCCAATGATGAAGTGCTGCTGATCCTGGAATAGTGAAGACAAACATCATGCGAGAGATTCCTTCTTGTCTCTCACAGGTGGCTTTTTTGGTGTTAAAACTTCTAGGCCTTCTGCAATCCCCTGAGAATGGGGTCCATTCTATTCTTGATGCAGCTCTTGCTCCTGCAGTAAGTTCTTCCTAACTGTAATTATTGGCAGTTGCTTCATGGGAATTTCATCTATTTATTATTATGTTTTTTCATGTTATTTTTTCAGTTTAATATTTACATGTTTTCTTGGACTTCCTACATCAGCCCGTGATTTTCTGAGTTACTGATCAACCTCATGCTTTGTCCAACATAAATATGTGTTGTTCTTCATAAAGCAAACAAAGTTGCTGCTCAATGCAGTAACCAACATCACTGTGTGTGACCTGTTAGTATTAAATAATGTTAAATAAATCAGCAGTCAACACCCTGAGTCAATTAATTTCCAATATAATCTTCAAATTTTGTGGAGCAGGATTTACTTCTTTGTCCCTGGACAAAGTGGAGTTCTGTTAATTTTCTTTTTTAAATGAAGTTACAGAAAGTAACAAAATTCACCATGTTTATGATGGATAGAAGCCTCTACTCATCTGGATGGTGAGGCAATAAGTAGTCAAGATTTTTTTGATATTGAAATTACATGGAGAAACAAATATAATTGCTTAAGTTTATTTTTCCTTGTCTAACTTGGGGCATTCTATAAATAAAAATAAATAAAAAAGAAGAGAAAAACTGTGGAAATGAGACATCTTAATGAAATGAAAGAAGATTTTGACTTTTGAGGCAAAGATAGGTGGCTGTTGGATAAAATGTACCATAGGATAGTGGGTTCCGTGATTCTCTGTGATTTCTTGAGGCGATTTACTCACCAAACAAGGACCTGAGCTTTTGCTCCATGTTCAACTATTATTGTGGTAAAACGCTTCCTGGATAGTATGAGTTGATCTGTTGTTTTTGAGCCCATTAGTTGTCTGTTGATTTCAGGGAACATCGGGAGTCTACTTTTTTGGCGGAAATGGTAGGACTATCAAATCTTCTGCACTTTCTTACGACACCAAACTTTCAAAGGAACTTTGGGCTACTTCTTGCAATCTATTCTTCGAATTGCAGCTGTCCTCCGAGGAAACTTCCACTTGAATAGGAGACGTACATTTGTAGTGAGTAATTGGCTTCATAGGCAATGAAATATATGTAGAAGGCTGTGAGAGCTTGCTTTGAATTTATGTTATCTTCTCTGTAATATAGTAGTTCAAAAAGGAAAACAAAGTGTACTAACCACCGCGACACTTTGGAACTCCAAGTTATCAGTGGAATATATATTACATGATTGTTTGTTCCACATTAGAGTGTTTAAAAAGTGCCACTACTGATGTTCACAATTTTTTGCAATGAGCCAACATTTTGAAGAGATTGAGGATGTCAGGAACTTTGACTCAACGAGGCATGGTTGGGATATTATTAGGATTGAATTCCAACATTTTTTTTTAAAGAAGTTTGAACATTGTCGTCAACTCTCATAATTGGAAGGGGACACTTCGAAGAATTGAGGATATCAGTTACTTTAAATTGGAAGAGATATTGATAGAATATTGGACGATTTATTTCTAATTTTAAAGAAATACATCGTTTGTCCAACAAGAAGAGAGAATCTATTTTTCAACTACTTTGAACCGGCTAAATGAAGTGATTGAATATATGAATTATTATTACCTTTAACTCTTAATGAATATGTTTAAATATTTAATAAATGGGGATGCAAATAAATTGAGTCATGCCACGTTCAAGACTTTTAAGAGTCCTTTCAATTAAGCGCGTGGGAGGGAGAGGTTTTGAAGGCCTTACACGTGGTTGGCGTAGAAGATTGGGCCGTTCAAAGTGGATGACAGCTGCATCCACTTTTATTTCAAATTCTTGGGCTCCGAATAAAAGCAAGGCCGATTTTGGGGTTAAGTCGGTAGTTGGGTCTAATAATGGGCTGAGGGTTAAGGCTTCTGGATCCAACTCATTTTCTCCCTCCTGTGGGCCTGTGGTTGGCAAGCCTGGCCTGATTTATGAAGAAAATTTGTCATCTGCTGGGCCAGATGGAGGTGGTGCGGCCCAATCATTGGATGTTGTATGTTGTGGACAAGGACCCATTGTTGTGGGTTGTGAATTGAAGAAAGGATCAGGTTCTATTAATGTTTCTTCTGGGCCAGTGTTGGGCAACAGGTTTGGGCCTTTATGTGATGGTGTTGATAACATCGACGTTCAGCCGAACAAAGATCTTCTTGAAGGCTCTAGAAGAAGTCGACGTGCTAAGGGACAGGTGCAGGGACACCGCATGAAGAAGAAAGTGATATTTCCCCCTGTGCGCAAAAAATGGTCTCGAAAGGAAAAGCAGAAGTGGATTCCGGTTTCGCAGTTCACATCTGGATCGGGTATGTCTTTTGATTCGCCTAATCACTCTCCGTCTCTCCCTTCTTCTTCTACTTTTCATCCTCGAAAGAGCTTGGTGCTGAAAAAGAGAGTTGTGTCTTCTGTGTCAAAATGCTTGTCTCCGGTTTTTGAAAGGGAGCCGGTGCTTGGTCTTGAGAAAAGACCTGGTGACGATGGTGATTTTGAGATGGGTTCTACTCGGTTGTGTGATGTTAACAGTGACGGATTTACTGTGTGTGTGGGTCGGGATGTGAAGATAAGGATTGATGATGTTTCAGCTGCTGTGCTCTTGAACGAGTTGAGAGCTCATCTTGTGTCGAAGGGATCTGTTACTGAACGGAATGATCATTTGGCCGATGAGGTGTTTGGAACCCCTTTTTCTTGTTGCTCTCCATCTTTATCATCTGTTGAGTATAGGGAGGATGGGTCGTGTTCCTCTGATCATGGGGATGCGGGCATGGTTTTGTGGAACGGATGTGAGTCTGATGTTGATTTGCTTACTCCTTTGGCAGTTGTTAGACAAGAAGAGAATTATGCGGAAGGAAGGGGATTTGATGCAGGGTTGGCTGATTTGGAGAATGATTGGATGAAAGAAAATGGTGTCGAGATAGGTTCTCTTTTGGGTGTGTCATTTGAGGGTCAGATGGAGGAGGCGACTAATCTATTCCTAGATGTTCTTAATGCTCAGTTTGCTGATAGAATAGATTGTAGGGGGAGTGCTCCAGTGGTGAGAGAGGAGAGAGGGGATCCAAGTCCCTCGACTGTTGTTACTTATGAAAGGAGGAGGAGGGGGGCTAGAGAGAGGGCCAGTGGGAGGAGGGGTGAGACGGTCAATTCTATTTTATGAAGCTTCAAATTCTCTCATGGAATGTCCGGGGTCTTAACGATCAGGCTAGAAGGAAAGAGGTGAAATCGTTGATTCGGAAAGCGGGTGGTCATCTTGTATGTCTTCAAGAAACAAAGATTGCTTCTATGACGGATATGATTGTTCGAAGTTTGTGGGGTGGGAGATTCGTGCAGTGGTGTGTCTTGGATGCGATTGGCTCATCGAGTGGTATCCTGATTATGTGGGATGTCCGTTGGATCTCTTTGTTGGATTCTCAGGTTGGGTGTTTCTTGGTTTCCTGTTTTCTATCCATGGTGGAGGATGGCTTTCGGTGGGTTTTTTCTGGAGTCTATGGGCCTACGGAGGATTATGAGTGCCATTTGTTTTTGGAGGAGCTGGGGAAGATTCGTAGGCGATGGTCGTTGCCTTGGTGTATCGGGGGGGCAGATGGACAACTGATATGATGGCTTTTTCAGAGTTTATTGATGCTTACTGTTTGTTTGATTTGCCTTTGGTGGGTAGGTCTTTCACTTGGTCCAGTGGTCGATCTCCTCCTTCTCTTTCTCGTCTTTATAGATTCTTGGTGTCGAGTGATTGGGAGGAGAAGTTTTCTGATGTTGTTCAGACCATCTTGGCTCGTCCTTTATCTGATCATGTTCCGTTGCTGTTGGACTGTGGCGGGCTGCATAGCAGAAGATCCCCATTTCGATTTGAGAATATGTGGCTCCAGGCTGAAGGTTTCTTGGAGCGAGTTCGATCCTGGTGGGGGGGGTATGGAGTGGTTGGCACTCTGAGTCATTTTTTGGCAGGCAAGTTGCGTTGTTTGAAGAATGATCTCAAAGTCTGGAATAAAGAGGTGTTTGGTAACTTAGTCTGGAGAAAGAATCGGGTTCTCTCTGAGATAGCTGACATTGATAAGATGGATAATCAGGGTCTTTTGACGGGTCCTTTGAAACTTAGGAGGGTGGAGTGTCAAGCAGAGTTTGCTGAGATTGCTGTTATGGAGGAGATTTCATGGAGATAGAAATTTAGAGCTTTGTGGCTTAAAGAAGGTGACAATAACATTAAATTCTTTCATAGACTTGCCAATGCTCACAGAAGGGGCAACCACATTAGGAGGATTAGGGTGGATCGGGTGTTGATTAATAAAGAGGAGGAGATTAGTAAGAGCTTTTCTGAGTACTTTTCGACTTTGTTCACTGAGTCAGCCGATTAGCGTCCTTTGCTTGATGGGCTTCATTGCGATTCTATTTCAGGAGAGGGGGGCTCTGTTTTGGAAGAGCCTTTTTCAGAAGAGGAAGTTTTCTCTGCTCTGAAGAGCTGTAATGGGGATAAAGCTCTTGGACTGGATGGTTTTACTATGAGGTTCCTTTTGCAATGTTGGAAGGTGGTTCGTGAAAAGGTGACGGGCTCTTTTCATGCCTTCCGTGCGCAGGGCTCTTTTGAGAAAAGTTTGAATGCAACTTTTATTGTTTTTATTCCGAAGAAGGGAGAGGCAATGGATGTTAGAGACTTCCGCCCTGTTAGTTTGGTGGGATGTTTTACAAGTTGATTGCAAAAGTCTTAACTTCTAGGTTGAAAAAGGTGATGGATGGTGTCATTTATGAGTCTTAGAATGCTTTTGTGGGAGGTCGGCAGATCTTGGATTCTGTTCTTATTGCTAGCGAATGTGTTGATTCCCGTTTGAGCAGCGGTGTTCCGGGTGTTCTTTGTAAGCTAGATATTGAAAAGGCATACGATCATGTGAGCTGGAGTTTCCTTCTCTACTTGTTAGAGAGGATGGGATTCGGTGGGCGGTGGAGGAGATGGATTCTTTTTTGCTCCTCTAGCGCTTGTTTCTCTGTCCTTGTGAATGGAGCGCTGACGGGTTTCTTCTCTAGCTCGAGGGGTTTGAGACAAGGGGACCCGCTTTCCCCTTTCTTGTTCCTTTTTGTGATGGAGGCTCTTAGCAGATTGCTAAAGAGGGCTATGGAGCTGGGTTTTTTGAGAGGCTTTCGGGTGGGCAGGTGTGATACCCCCAGATTTTCGGATGCGGGTTGGCCAGGCCCACGCCCGATAACCCAAGGATATCAAATTAATTAGCAATTTAACGAACACAGAATACAATATAGGAAACAGGAATAAATAAAATTTTGCTGAAAAGAACTAAAATGAAAATCCTTTAATGGAAAAACCTCCGAATAAACTTCATATGCAAGAACTAGTTTGTATACACCAACTTCTCCTTTACTTCTAATACAACTCGGGAATCCATCTCGTGGACCCCTACTAAAAATATTCCAATACTGAACATGAACAACTGCAAAGACAACCAACGATCATAATAAGAAGAAAATACTCCTACGTCGTCGGTGGAGTGAATAACTGTATCTGCTCAGCACGATCAAGCTCTTAGCCTGGAACTGACGAACAACTGTAAAAATAAGAGTGGGTCAGGCCCACATGCAAGTTCTATCCTAACTGCAATCCAGACGGTGACCCGATACGCAGATACACCCTAGATATCTCAGCAATAGCTATCTAGTCCATACATATATAAATATCCACACTAAGGGACATTCACTGGACTATGTAGGGGGTTTCAACCTGAATAGAAGGCAACATGCAAAAACGCACCCAAAGGTGGGCATGAGTACCTAGACCTAACAGGGTACACCTCAACCTATTATAGCCAGCTACGCATCCACTGCATATATGCACCCTAACCAACGAGTCTGAGACTCAAGCTCAACTCGTGGTACCATAAACATATATATAAAGTCCGTCCAAATCCAGGGTATGCAGTTCAAATATTTACTAAACTGACATACAATAAACCAACTAGTTAGTCACTCAACTTATTTAATGGATATGACTTAACTACCATCCGTTAATCCAGGAAGTCATCCAACTTGGTTACAGCTGATCTGACTTAGTCACAATTAGGATTCGATATCTTTCAATCCATTCCATTAATCCATTAGGTTAGGTTTATGCGTTTTGAGCTAAACCGTCCCTAGTATGTCACCGTCCCATACCGGTACATACAATCCTCCATATCCATGTAAATTACAACATATATAACAGTTCAATAATTTACAGACCCATAAACCACCATCCAAGTAATTGCAGAAAAATATTTAAAGCTTCAGCAACTTAAATCCAAGCATTTAACCATATAGTTGCAGGAGACGATTTAATAAATCAACAACTAACATCCAGAGCATGTATAGACCAAATTTAATATGTCAGGGACTCCATCATGCATGTGAATAGGTTAAATAATCCTATTATTATCCAATAAATTGCTAAAACAATTTTAGAAGATTGTTTAATATTTCCGTAATTTAAATCCAAGCATTAACCATATAGTTGTAGGAAACGATTTAATAATTCAGCAACTAGCCTCCTAAGCATGCATAGATCAAAATTAATAATTAAATGACCTTATCATGCACTTGAATGCATTCTAAAACAAGTTTTATAAACACATTATATTCCATCAAATTGCTGAAATTTAATTCAACAATTCATTTATCTTCCATTTGTTAACAATATAGGGAGTGTCTTAATTTTTTACACTGTTTGCCCCGACAATTTAGAATTAAACCCTAATCAATTTAAGGTCCTAATAACACCCAAATTCAGCCTTCTAAGCTTTCTGTGGAACCCCAGACCCAACAGATTTAAAACCCATGCCCAATAGTAAGCACAGTACGTAGAAAATTTAAAAAAAAATTAAAACAAATCGTAAAATAAAAAGGGAGCCTGCTCCATCAAAATTAATAATTAAATGACCTTATCATGCACTTGAATGCATTCTAAAACAAGTTTTATAAACACATTATATTCCATCAAATTGCTGAAATTTAATTCAACAATTCATTTATCTTCCATTTGTTAACAACATAGGGAGTGTCTTAATTTTTTACACTGTTTGCCCCGACAATTTAGAATTAAACCCTAATCAATTTAAGGTCCTAATAACACCCAAATTCAGCCTTCTAAGCTTTCTGTGGAACCCCAGACCCAACAGATTTAAAACCCATGCCCAATAGTAAGCACAGTACGTAGAAAATTAAAAAAAAAATTAAAACAAATCGTAAAATAAAAAGGGAGCCTGCTCCAAATTTTGGAGCAGGCTCTTTTTCAGCCTAGAGCCGGCTCTAGGACTCCTTAGAGCCGGCTCTACTTGTTGTGGGAGCCGGCTCCCACTTCTACGGAGCCGGCTCTCACCTCCTTTGAGAGCCTTCAGTCCCCGGTGCTTCGTTTCAGTCTGTTTGCTCTGTCTCTGGACCATTCCTACCACTCTGTTGATTTCTAAAACTCATCTTAAGAGTCTTATAGCACCCTAGTAACACTCCCATGATTCGTTTACAGAAGTTGAAATCAAAATAAAACTAAATCTGTTATCGAAACGAAACATGCTTTCGGAATAAAACTGAAACTATTTTGCAATATCAATTCCATTCCAATCCCCTCTGTTCCTCTTCACTACTGAACTTAGGAGTCTTAACTAATCCCAGTAGCATCCCAATCATTCTTTTACAGTTGTTGAAAGAAAATACAGTAACTAAAATTCCAATAGAATTTACATGCTTTAAGAAAACAAACTAAACAGACTTGCACGAATTGTAACAGATTTAATTTCAACAACGAACAGCCATCAATATAGCATATATTAACCATGTAAATTCCAGTTCCTGATTAATTAAACCCTAGAGATTATCTAGGTGCACAGAACACAGGGCAAAGGGAGAGAGACAGAATAGAACTTGCCTCTGTGGTCTTTGAATAAAAACCTTGTCGCCGTCTTCTAAGGTTTTCCGACGACATCCAATTCATTGTCAATCTCCTATTGTGCAACCTTCCCTCCTCCTAGGCCCGTCCTTTAATCCGCAGTAGAAACCCTAACAACAAATCCCTCTGTTTTCCTTACAGTTTTCTCTCTCTGTTTTCACGTCCCTCTATATGCTCACTGTTCGTGAATAGGGTTGGTGCTTTTAACCCTAAGCAGATTTATAACAGTATATATAGGCATATATACCCTACGTCTATTTACATTAAGGATGGACACCCAACTAAACCCTAATCAACCCAATAACGTGGTCCATCAAACTAAAACCCTAATTTACATTAAAATGAAATACATTAATAATTTAACCTAACAAGACATTAAAAAATTTACAACTAATTTAATTAAATAAATAAAAACAATTAACCAATTAATGCAAATAATTAGACAAAAACAAAATAATCAATTACACAACCAATCCAAGTAAAGAAAACAATTAACCAATTAAACACAAAACAGAAACCACATAACACATATAGTCACGTAAGTAACTAAAATGCACAAAAATAAAAATGTAAATTCCAATTATATCCTTTACAAAATTAGGGGTATTACAGCAGGGATGTTGCTAGTTAACTGGAGGTTTCTCATTTGATGTTTACAGATGACGCTATTGTGTTTTGTGATACGGATGCGTCCCAGCTGAGGTATTTGAGATGTGTTCTTATTTGGTTTCAAGTTGTTTCTAGCCTTAAGGTTAATGTTGGAAAGAGTATTCTTGTGCCTGTTGGGGATGTTCCGGAGATTGAGTTGTTTGTTCACATCCTTGGATGTTGCACTGGCTCTTTTCCTATTTCTTATTTAGGATTGCCTTTGGGTGCCCCTTCGAGATGTGTGGGGAGCTGGGATCCGGTTGTGGACATAGTCGAGAGGAGGTTGGCGGGTTGGAAAAAGCAGTACCTGTCCAAGGGGGGTCGGGTTACCCTGATTAAAAGCACCATTTCTAGCCTTCCTACATACTTCTTGTCTCTGTTTCAGATTTCTTCTTCAGTGGCTGAGAGAATTGAAAGATTGCAGTGCAACTTCCTTTGGGGGGGGGGGGGGGGGAGGTGAAGTGTTCAAATTTCACTTGGTTCGATGTGAACAAGTGTGCCGTCTAATTCGATTTGGAGGCTTAGGGTTTCGGAGGTTGTTACCTTTTAATAAGACTCTTCTTGGTAAATGGCTCTGGAGGTTTGGGATCGGGATCGGGATCGAGAGGCATTGGTTATGGAGGAAAGTTATTGCTAGCAAATTTGGGGAAAGTCGTGGTGGGTGGTGCTCCCTGGAGATGCGTGGTCCAAGGGGGGTGAGAGTTTGGCATTTCATTCGGAGGGGTTGGGATGATTTCTGCAAGCATGTTTGATTTCCTATTAAAGATGGAAGGAGGATCAGTTTTTTGATGGATCTCTGGTATGGGGATCTCCTTCATGTTCTCGCGTTCTCACAGCTCTATAGGATTGCTTCCATTGACAGGCCATGGTTGTTGACTGTTATCATCTTGATAACGGGAGACTGTTTTGGAATGTTCGTTTCAGGAGGCATTTTCAGGATTGGGAGATCGAGGATGTTTCTTGTTTTCTGGAGCTGTTGTATAGCCAGGTGATTTCTTTTGGGGGATCGGATTGGTGGTTCTGGATTCCTACCTCGCATGGCCTTTTTGAGGTTAGGTCCTTTTTCAGATGCCTTTCGGTTGGTCATGGAGATCCCTTCCCTTGGAAGTCTATTTGGCGGTTAAAGGCTCCCCGCAAGGTCGCCTTTTTTGCTTGGACCTCTGTTCTGGGTAAGATTTTAACCTAGGATAATCTGAGGAGGAGGAATCAGGTGGTGGTTAATCACTGTTACATGTGTCTGTGTAATGAGGAATCTGTTGATCACCTCCTTTTACATTGCAGCATGGCCAGAGATTGTTGGGATTTGATGCTTCGTTTATTTGGGGTTCATTGGGCCATGCATTTTTCCTTTAGAGGGTTAATTGAGGCTTGGAGAGGCGTCTCTGTTGGGGCTGGCATTAGGGATGCTTGGAGGGCTACGCCGCTTTGTATCTGGTGGTGTATTTGGCTTGAGAGAAATAGGAGATATTTTGACGGAAAAAAGAAGCATGTTTCTATGTTTAAGTTCTCTGTTATTTCTACTCTTTTTTGTTGGGTTTCAGGGAGAGATTATGATCTATGGAGGAAATTATTGTTTTTTTGACCTCTCTGAAGGTTTAAGGCGCCCTTTGACCCTTGTGTTCTTTTTGTTTCTTTCGGTTTCGCTCCCCTTTCTGAGCGTTTTTAATAAAATCTTACTTATCAAAAAAAAAAAAAAAAATTTAGCCCATGTCAAACTTGGTTTTGGCTCATTTAAAGTTAATAATAATAATTTTTTTTTTTTTCTTTTTTTTTCTAAGTATGTTTTTAATTTGATTTCTATAGTATTTTCTTTTTGCATGTCAATAACAATAGGTGTGGAACTTTCAAAATCATAAGAAAAATATTAAATATGTTTTTATACACAGAATTGCTCAATCTCTCGGGCTCGTGTTATTTGTCTAGGGTAGGATTTGAGCCCTTTTTTTATTTTTTTTTTATTTTTAAATACCAGGAAGGAGGGGGGAGGATGGGTGAGAGCTTCTACCAATTAGACTACCCAGCTCATCCAAATTTGAGTAGTTTACTTTATCAAATTGTTATTTGTTGATTTCTTCTATTTTTAGTTTGAGAAAGAATGAGATGTTCAGCATGAAAAATAATAATAATAATAATAAAAAGTTGTTCCGCGCATGGAACACAACCCCATGAGGGTATATAAAATACTCCTATAAGGCATAACTAGGGTCCATAGAATATAATGCATCACTCGATCAATTCGGGAAATAGCATAAGAAATATAGTAAACATGTTTTTATACACGCAGTTGCTCAATCTCTTGGGCTCGTGCTATTCGTCAAGGGCAGGATTCGAGTCGCTTATTATTGTTATTATTATTATTATTATTATTACATGTCAACGAGGAGGAAGGATGGGTGAGTGTCTCTACGAATCAAGCTACGTAGCTCATCCCGATTTGAATAGTTTACTTCCTCATGTTGTTATGTGTGGAGCACGTGACCCGAATATATAAACTACAGGATGTGTCGTGATGAGGGTTTGTAGAATGCAATGCATTATTTGATCGACTAGGGAAATAGCATAAGAAATATACTAAACATAATTTTATGTAAGGAGTTGCTCAACCTCTCGGGCTTGTGCAATTCGTCAAAAGTTAGATTTGAGTCAGTTTAGTTTTGTTTTGTTTTTGTTTTTTTTAATTAAAAAACATAAGTCTCTCCTTGTAACATTTCTCTCCCATCCGAACTCACAATGCTCTCGTAATGGTCGGGCTACCCTACCTACTCGAGAAGCATACCTGGACGCCGAATCAAGGAGTAGGGTATGTGATACCCCCGAATTCCTGAATACAGGTTGGCCAGGCCCACACCCGAATACCCGAGAATATCAAAACAAATTGGTAATAAACGAACACAGAGTACAAAAGAATAAAGAAAAATAAATAAAATACTGACAAGAAACTAAAATGATAATCTAATAATAAACCTCAGAATATATTTTCATTAATTAATAAACTCTTCTGATACAACTGATCCTCTAAAATACAACTCGGGAATCCAAACTGTGTGGACCCCTAGAAAATCCAAACTAAACAAATAACTGAATCATAAAGGAAATCAGGAGACTGAATCATAAAGGAACTCCTATGTAGCATCGGAAGAATGAAGTAGACTGATCCCCGCTCAGCACGAACAACCTTTACTCCTGACGAACACCTAAAAAATAATGGTGGGTCAGGCCCACAAACAAGTTCTACTCTACTACAGTCCAAGCAGAGATCCGATACACGTATACATCCTAGTCAATCCAACAGTAACTAGTAGTCCGTATATATATATATACACACTAAAGGAACCTCACTAGACTATAGGGTTGTCTCAACCTGAATAGTAAGCAACATGCAAAACGCACATATAGTGGGAATGAGTACCTAGCCCTACCAGGGTACACAACTACACTATATCTAGCTACACATCCCTGGCGATATACGCACCCTAACCACTGATCCTGAGACTCAAGCTCATATCATGGCACCATACTTATATATATAAAATCTAGTAACCATCCTATTCAGTATAAATTAATCCTGCATAAGTCATTCAACTTGTTCAGCTGATCTGACTTGAATATAAGTAGGACTTAATATTTTAGTTAATCCATTCCCTTATATAAAATAGGTAGGACTTAACTGATAAGTTAATCCGTCCCTAGAATGCCTCCGTCCCATACCGGTGCATTAAACCACACAATCCAACAATTAATGTAACGATTAAGGAAATACATTAAACAATCCAGAAATAACTATGATAATATGATATCAAGTTATCACAAAATAGGAATGACTTATTATTTATTTAAGCATCCTATATCATATATCCTACATTAACTGATTTTTATACATATGATGATATTTTATTATACCGTCAAATAAGTATTCTCCATATCCAATTCATCCTACACATTTAATCTCAATTGCTAAAACATATTAAAAGATTAAATTCATTTGTTTGTTTAAAACATTCAAATAACAAGCATCATTATGATTGAGTCTATTTAAATTTATTTAAACCCAAACTTAGTTCCTATTTAATGTTCAGGAATCCTAGGCATGTTTCTACGTTCCATCATTCCACAGATATGAAAAATACATAATTTAAACATGTAAAAATTCACACCGGAAATCAAATCAAAATCATGCATTTATTAATTCATAACACAAGAACAGATTTGAACAAAATTCATAAAACCTATGTTCTAATCCAATTAAACATGCATAATTATTTAATTTTATGTGTTTAATAAATCCTGGAATTTCCTAGGCATGTACAAAAACATGAATCAAAGGGAAAGAGATAGAAGAAGAACTTGCCTTAAACTTTCGGATCGAAAGTTAAACTTCTTCTTCCTTAATCTTCTCTTTACAGGGTTTTTCTCCTCATTCCTTCCTTCTCTAACTCTCTCTCTCTAGAATATATCACGTGAATATTTCTAATCCCTTTTTACAACCTATAACTATATATTTATAGGATAAATAAAATAACCCTAACCCTTTTCCCAATCCACGTCAACTTAAAAAAAATAAATATTAAAATATTAAAAAGGTAAGTAAAATATGTTACGTATATAATTCATGTATATCTTTATTAAATAAATAAATTATACACATTCCATTATTTATTAATGGATTATCCAATAATACTGAAGTTACCATAATATTATAAAGTAACTTAAAACATAATACGTATCAAATCTATGTATATTTTTATTAGTTAAATATAAAACATATACATCAGATAAAATATTACTACCCAGATTACCATAAAAGTAATTAATCAATTAATTTTATTTTTATATATTAAAAAGGTAAGTAAAATATGTTACGTATATAATTTATGCATATCTTTATTAAATAAATAAATTATACATATTCCATTATTTATTAATGGATTATCCAATAATACTTAAGTTACCATAATATTATAAAGTAACTTAAAACATAAAACGTATCAAATCTATGTATATTTTTATTATTTAAATATAAAACATATACATCAGATTAAATATTACTACCCTAGTTACCATAAAAGTAATTAATAAATTACTTTCCTTTTTATATATGTATATAATATATATCTATATATATACTTACACAATTATTCATGGGTAATAATCCATACACATCCAACCTCCTATCCAAGTAGTTCATGGGATCCAATTGGTTGGCCCATTACTATTAACCATAACCACAAAAGAAAAATAAAATAAAATAATAAAAGAAAAGAAATCATTTAATTTACAATTAATCAAAACACCATTTAAGCACATAATCTAATTAAACAATTAACACATAGATAAATACAAATAATATATAGACACATAATCAAATAATCAAGAAATACCTAATTCAATTAAACACATAAGTAATTAGTCAAATAATCAATTAAATAATTAACAATATAATTAACACAAATAAATAAATACCGAGACACAATTGGGTCCCATGGACTACTTGGATAGGAGGTTGGATGTGTATGGATTATTACCCATGAATAGTTGTGTATGTATATATATAGATATATATTATATACATATATAAAAAGGAAAGTAATTTATTAATTACTTTTATGGTAACTTGGGTAGTAATATTTAATCTGATATATATGTTTTATATTTAAATAATAAAAATATACATAGATTTGATACGTTTTATATTTTAAGTTACTTTATAATATTATGGTAACTTAAGTATTATTGGATAATCCATTAATAAATAATGGAATGTATATAATTTATTTATTTAATAAAGATATACATAAATTATATACGTAATATATTTTACTTACCTTTTTAATATATATAAAAATGAAATTAATTGATTAATTACTTTTATGGTAACCTGGGTAGTAATATTTTATCTGATGTATATGTTTTATATTTAACTAATAAAAATATACATAGATTTGATACGTATTATGTTTTTAGTTACTTTATAATATTATGATAACTTCAGTATTATTGGATAATCCATTAATAAATAATGGAATGTGTATAATTTATTTATTTAATAAAGATATATATAAATTATATACATAACATATTTTACTTACCTTTTTAATATTTATTTTTTTTAAGTTGACGTGGATTGGGAAAAGGGTTAGGGTTATTTTATTTAGCCTATATATATATAGTTATAGGTTGTAAAAGGGGGTTAGAAATATTCACGTGATATATTCTAGAGAGAGAGTTAGAGAAGGAAGGAGGAAAAGGAAGAAAGGAGGAGAAAAATCATGTAGAGAGAAGATCAAGGAAGAAGAAGTTTAACTTTCGATCCGAAAGTTAAAGGCAAGTTCTTCTTCTATCTCTTTCCCTTTGATTCGTGTTTCTGTACATGCCTAGGAAATTTCAGGATTTATTAAACACATAAAATTAAATAATTATGCATGTTTAATTGGATTAGAACATAGGTTTTATGAATTTTGTTCAAATCTGTTCTTGTGTTATGAATTGATAAATGCATGATTTTGATTTGATTTCTGGTGTGAATTTTTACATGTTTAAATTATGTATTTTTCATATCTGTGGAATGATGGAATGTAGAAACATGCCTAGGATTCCTGAACATTAAATAGGAATTAAGTTTGGGTTTAAATAAATTTAAATAGACTCAATCATAATGATGCTTGCTATTTCAATGTTTTAAACAAACAAATGAATTTAATCTTTTAATATGTTTTAACAATTGAGATTAAATGTGTAGGATGAATTGGATATGGAGAATGCTTATTTGACGGTATAATAAAATATCATCATATGTATAAGAATCAGTTAATGTAGGATATATGATATAGGAAGCTTAAATAAATAATAAGTCATTCCTATTTTGTGATAATTTGATATCATATTATCATAGTTATTTCTGGATTGTTTAATGTATTTCCTTAATCGTTACATTAATTGTTGGATTGTGTGGTTTAATGCACCGGTATGGGACGGAGGCATTCTAGGGACGGATTAACTTATCAGTTAAGTCCTAACTATTTTATATAAGGGAATTGATTAACTAAAATGTTAAGTCCTACTTATATTCAAGTCAGGTCAGCTGAATAAGTTGAATGACTTATGGAGGATTAATTTATTATATAAAGGAATGAATTAATTAAAATGTTAAGTCCTACTTATATTCAAGTCAGGTCAGCTGAACAAGTTGGATGACTTATGCAGGATTAATATATACTGAATAGGATGGTTACTAGATTATATATATATAAGTATGGTGCCATGATATGAGCTTGAGTCTCAGGATCAGTGGTTAGGGTGCGTATATCGCCAGGGATGTGTAGCTAGATATAGTGTAGTTGTGTACTCTGATAGGTCTAGGTACTCATGCCCACTATATGTGCGTTTTGCATGTTGCCTACTATTCAGGTTGAGACAACCCTATAGTCTAGTGAGGTTCCTTTAGTGTGTATATATATATATATATATACGGACTATTAGTTACTGTTGGATTGACTAGGATGTATACGTGTATCGGATCTCTGCTTGGACTGTAGTAGAGTAGAACTTGTTTATGGGCCTGACCCACCATTATTTTTCAGGTGTTCGTCAGGAGTAAAGGTTGTTCGTGCTGAGCGGGGATCAGTCTACTTCATTCTTCCGATACTACATAGGAGTTCCTTTATGATTCAGTCTCTTGATTTCCTTTATGATTCAGTTATTTGTTTAGTTTGGATTTTCTAGGGGTCCACATAGTATGGATTCCCGAGTTGTATTTTAGAGGATCAGTTGTATCAGAAGAGTTTATTAATTAATGAAAATATATTCTGAGGTTTATTATTAGATTATCATTTTAGTTTCTTGTCAGCATTTTATTTATTCTTCTTTATTCTTTTGTACTCTGTGTTCGTTTATTATCAATTTGTTTTGATATTCTCGGGTATTCGGGCGTGGGCCTGGCCAACCTGCATTCGAAAATTCGGGGGTATCACAGTTGGTATCAGAGCCTGACCCAGCCGGAGTGTGCCGACAGGGACGTCGGGCCTCCAAGGGGGGTGGATTGTGATGACCTTGTGGGCGGGTATGCCGTGGGTAGGTGCGAGAGACACTGTCAGGCTACCACACTGGCGAGCTACGAGTGCACAGTCCCATATCGCCTGGGTAGAGAAAAGGTGAAGTGCTTATATGTAAGTGTGTCACCTCCAATTGGTATGAGACCTTTTGGGGTGAAATTCAAGAGCAAAACCGTGCGGGGTCAGGCCCAAAGCGGACAATATCATACCGATGTGTTGGAGTGAGTCGTTACAAATAGTATCAGAGCCTGACCCAGCCGGAAGTGTGCCGACGGGGACGTCGGGCCTCCAAGGGGGGTGGATTGTGATGACCCTGTAGGTGGGTGTGCCGTGGGCGGGTGCGAGAGACACTGACAGGCTACTACACTGGTGAGCTGCGGGTGCACAGTCCCACATCGCCTGGGTAGAGGAAAGGTGTAGTGCTTATATGTAAGTGTGTCATCTCCAATTGGTATGAGGCCTTTTAGGGTGAAACCCAAGAGCAAAACCGTGCGGGCTCAGGCCCAAAGCGGACAATATCATACCAGGTGATGAGGTGGGTCGTTACAGGGTATGACTCTGATACCAACTGTAATGGATGGACGTTTACCTATTTACCCAAAAACTTAAATTGTTAGATAGTGCTGCATATCTACCTATTTATACTCATGTCATTTCCTATCCAAATCCAATGTGGGAGAGACTAACCAACTCTGATTGTTATTTGTTGGTTTATTCTATTTTTCGATGGACTACTGTTACTAGGGGACATTTGTCTCAAATTGGATCCGGATAAGAAAATGATTGGGTATAAATTGGTGGATATGTAGTACTACTCAACAGCTTGAGATTTTGGGTAAATAGGCAAGTGTCCACTCGTTACACTTGGTATTAGAGTCAGATTCAGTCCTTGATCCGGTGTCACGCCAACTCGGAAGGCGTTCGGGTGAACCATTCTGGATAGGCAGTGTGGCCCAATCACAACGAGGGTACTGCGAATTTGGATGAGAAATAATGTTACAAAGAGCCATTTATCACTCATTAACTTGAACTTTTGAATAAATGGGTAAGACCCACCCGTTACAGCGACGTAGCTCTAATTGTTATTCGTTGATTTGATCTATTTTTAGTTTGAAAAAGAATGAAGATGTTCCACGTGTGTAGCAGGTGACCTTATGAGGTACGAAGTATATAAACTACTACTATTAAGAGAAGGGGGTAGCGAGGGTTTACAACGTATCAGTCTTTCTGCTGGGGAAATAGCAAAAGGATCGATAGCGATTAGCCAAGAGAGAGACAGTGTTTGAGCGGTGTGTGTAAGATATATATAGAGAGAGAGGGGTAGGAGCGGAGGAGATGTGGTTTGGTGGTGGAGCTGTAAGAGAAATCGGAGGAGTTGCAACGACATTCGTGAGGCACTTCTCTAGGGAACGTGCGGTGAATGTGAGGAAAATCAACCCTAGGGTAACGCCCCAAGAGGCTTCATCCATTGCTGAATCTCTCTACAACATCATCAAGCAGCATGGACCTCTCTCTGTTTCCAACACTTGGAACCAAGTCAAGGTTCTCTCTCTCTCTCTCTATACATACACATAATATAAATATATCTACTCCGAGGAATGAACAATCCAAGTTGTTACAGAATTCAATCTTTTACCATGGTATTTTAAACAAATTAATTTTGTGGGTCATTAAGTATATAATTTAAGATTGAAGTGGAAATGAAGGATGTGAGTAGAAAAGCCTTTGAGGAAGTAAATTGTATGCATCCACATTGGGGGATTCTCTTTGACAGGAACTGCAACCGTTATAGCTTCATACAGGGTCACATGTCTTGCAACTCTGGAAGTCCTAAATTAAAAGAGATCTCTTGAGTAAAAAATGTGGTCCTTATTGTAATTTAAGGGTCAAAATTTTCTTTTTGGGATTGTAGTCTCAGTAGAAGTACGAAAATGCTAGCAGCCTATATGAAGTTATGAACTCATGATTCAATAAAATATAAGAATTTGGCAGAGGTTTTGAACCTTTGTGTATAATATGGCTTGTGGTAGGATTAGAAATAGCCCACCACTAACAGCTTTATATATATGGTATCGGGTGGTGTGCCTAAAGTTCCTCGCAAATTCTCTATGCGACCCATGTTCAGCTGTCTTATCAACTAGTGCCCTCAAAAGAAAGCCCGAGAGAGAGAGATCGATAAGCGAAAGATCTAGGAAGGATCGTGAACCATGTGGACAAGAGGCCGGCTGTAAGTAGGCCAACATTTCCAAACCTATATTCGCGCTTGTTGCTGAGTTGTGGTTCTTGCTTTATTTTTCCTCGTTACTTAAAAAGAAATTTCTTGTCTCATTCGCTCTGTAACCTAACGTGGGGATGAAACCTAGGAAGCCAATGTAAAATTCCTATGCAGTTCTTCTTTTTATTTAGGTTTATTTTTACACTTCATTAACTGTAACCAGATCTTAATGATAATCATGTTCAACCTTAAATACTACTTCAATAAGCCTAATATTTTACTCAACAAATCATTAGAGCTTAGCAACCAGAACCCACAATGAAAGCTTTCTGTTTGATGAGCAGAACTTGCCATTTACAGTCCCAAATAGCCCTATTTCACTCACGAACCTCTACCCTTCAAAGCCCAAATCAACACATACCCTTTCCCATTTTCTTCGGCATTCCATTAAAACTCAATCACCAAACTAATATTTGCCTTGCATTTATGGTAGCATAAATTCCTTATTCTGAAAACCGTACAACCTGTCACTGAAATCTAAGTTGATCCTGGCCCCTTATAGACGAACTAATTCAGCCATTCTGGTTAAAACAATCCCGGGAAAGAAAATGAAGCACACAGGACCCTGTTTCATTTTGCTTTAGGTTTCTTCCTGTAAAAATTGTAACAATAGATTACTAGTTTTCTGGAAGTTCTCAACATCTGTAAGGGCATTCAATGATCAAGTGCTAAAAAAATTATAAGGAAGAACGAGCAAATTAGTGCTTGGAGCTCCAGGTCAATTGTTTCACTTCCACTTTCACTATATTGTTGGTCAATTGGGTTTTCTTCAGATATACTGCAAAACACGCCTACCATTACATTTACACTAAATGTGATATATGCAATTATTTCAATGGCTATGCTTGGATTTCATAGTTACATCTTTACTTACACGGAATGATATTTGTTATTTTTAGCATGAAACTGGGTGATTGTTAATTGGCTTAAATGTGAATAATTTGGTGATTGACGGTTCAAATTTTTTATTTGACATAACTATTCTTAATTTGTGCAAAAGTTGTTCAAATATACCTCTAAGATTATTTTTGAACTTAGGAGGTAAGGTTATATTACTTCTTTTATATATATATATATATATATATATAGGGTGAAGTGCAAAAAACACCCCTTAAGTATGCTTATAGTGCATATCACACCCCTCCCGTGTAAAAAACACCCCTCAAGTTTTAATTTGGTGCAATCAAGTCCCTCTTGCAAATTTAAAATCAAATTTGACAAAAGTACCCTTAGTCAATAATTTTATAAAATATATAAAAATACAAAATTTTGTAAAAAGACCAAAAAGGACAATAAACAGCCCTGCCTCTCATGCGACAGCCGGCACCGGCAAGCAAGGAGAAGACGGGCTCCGCCGTCGTTGCACAGCCATCAGTCCAGCCGAGCTTCATCACAGCCGAGCCTCCGCCGAACCGAACCCATCTCACCTGCTGTCCAACTCCGCCGGTCCACCGATCTGAAGCTCACTGCCGCACTTCGTCCCAAGTCGCCTTTTCAGCCATCTAGTCCGCTTTTGTCACTGCCGAAGAGGTTGTGATTTTTGCCGGCGTTGTGAATCTGGCCATGAAGAAGAAGTTCGGTGGATGGAGAAGAACCCACTGGCGACTATGGATCCGGGGATGGGCGGGCGGCCAACGAGATCTCACGACGGTTATGAGCAAGGGGCGGTGGAATCGGCTGAACTGAACTCAGCCGTGATGAAGACGGCAGCTCGCGGCGTGATGGCAGCGATGATTAATATTGATGGCAATGATGGATGTGCACGGCTAGGAAGGTGATATTATGAAATAAGGTTTGAATTGAGTTCATGGGATCGACGTATCGCAGAGAACTCATCATCAATTGCTTCGTCGCTGACGACGGTGGCAAAACAGTGGAAGAAAACCCCATCTCAGCAGACCCAAAATCAGAGATTGCAATTGAGCATTTCTTTGGAAGCTTTGATGCCCACAGGCGAACTCCGATACCCGTCGTCGTCGTCGCCGCGGTGCTTTCTCTCCACCCTCCTCTACAACCTCGTCCTCGACGCCTCTTCTCCTGTGACGCTGCGCAGGATGCATTTTTGTTCTTATGACATGATTGTTTCATAGTCTTCTTGTTTTACTCCTCTTAATTTTGTATGTGTTCTTGGCAAGTGACTTCTGAAATAGCACAGAAATATTAACAAAGTCTGATTCCATTAAAGAGCAGCAGTTGATTACAAACAACACTTGGATGTGCCTTTTCTTTCTTTTTGTTATACAAGTTCTACACATCTGGGCATGTTCTTGAAGGAATTTTTAATAACCACTAAGCAAACTACCCACCTCCGCGATGTACTACTGTATCGACCGATTTTCACTGGTTCAAGAAGCTCAACTCTTTCTCGCACACACAATCAGCTCGCACCTTTAGAAATGCTATGCAATGACGACTGCCATACCCTTGCTTTGGCTGCCGCCGCGGCAGTAGCAGCAGAGTTCCCTGTTGATGTCCTTGGTCGATGTTTTTCGTGTTTCATCACCTGCAGTTTTGTGTATACACATTTAAAGAACAACTTTTAATGAAAGAAAAATTGAGAATCAATGTTTTTAACAAATTGATACAACTTTTAATAAAAGAGAAAATGAGAATCAATGTTGCGCCAAACCAACCTTCCAAATCATCTTGATTCGGTGATGATGATGAAGAAGAAGAGTGAAAGTAAAATTGGGTGCAGAAGAAGACGGTGGTGGGAGGAACTGGCGGCAGAGAGTAGAGAGTAGAGAGAGAAGGGGGGGTATTTTGGGAAGACTAAAAGGGCAAAATGGATACTACAACAATAATTTAGGGGTGTTTATTGCACAGAGGGGTAATTTTGCACAATTTCAAAAGATTAGGGGTGTTTATTGCACACTTTTTTAATTAGGGGGTAAAAATGTTACAAAAAGTATACTTCAGGAGTGTTTTCTGCACTTCCCCTATATATATATATATTACATCTTTTATTATATTCCACTATTTGCATGAATACGTGTGTTTGATAAATGAATGAGAAAATGTAATGAATTTGCGTGATGCTTGTCTATTTGACACGTGCTATCATTACGTTGGTTATTCTTCACGTGCTAAGACCGCAATCGATGCCTTGTCCATAAATAGTCCCTCCACTTATAAGCAAGGGGTCTTCTCTTTTCACTGCCTCTATAGAAGGGGTTGAATACACTCTATCCCATATCTTTCCACTGCTTCCTCTCCTCCTCCAACCATGATCCGTTTGAGTCCTTGCGGAATGGAGTGTAAGAACCCATACATACATATGGTGACTTTGATAAGATGACTAGTCATGGTACTTTGTTCCTCTAATTTGTTTGGGACCCCTCGCGTTAATCACATTGTTTTTGAAAAGTTTGATTGGAATTGTATTTGGAGGAGATCTCAAGAACTGTTGAATAATTATCTTTCATGGATCCCTAGAATTGAGCAAAACCGTTCTTCAATAATAATCTTGTTTTACATGGATTAATACATGCTGTTCATTCTGAAAGTTCTACTTGGTATGAAAATCAGTGCGGACATGGTGAATACCAGTATTTTCACTAAAAGGCATCCAGCCTCCACTCCACAATATCAATGTTAAGTTGACCAATGGCCATTTAGATGATGAGTATTGCAAATGTTTGAGGCATCAAGTCTGGTTGCAGGTTAATTGTAAGTTTATGAAATATTTTGTTGTAGGCTTTAAATTTGCATATTAACAGAGGGGCACTAAAAATATGCAGTTCATAAGTGTTGTTTCTATTACATCAATAAGTTGTGGTATTACGGTAATGTTCCTTCATTTGGTAATATAATGTTCTTCCTGACAAAGAGAAGAAAACGAAAACGAAAACAAAAAAAAAAAGAGGAGGATAGGATACTGATTACAAATTCTACTTATCTATTTTTGAAACCTCATCAGAGACACTTTATATTTTTCCCCAAATGTTGCAGGAAGCTTCTATTAATGGATTAAACAGCAAAACACACATGAAGATAATGCTGAAATGGATGAGGGGGAGGAATATGCTCAAGCTGTTTTGCAACCGAGTTGGTTCCACCAAGAAATTTCTGCATTGTACTCTGCCTGAAGAACCTCAAACTGAGCAATCAAAAGCGGCCCTGGAACTGCAACTACAGACCGAGAAACCTTCTATGAAGAGGAAAAAACGAATAAAATAATGCATGGGCACTGAGGGTATTCACCAGGCCTTGAACTGTGCCTGTTAATGGCAACATGAATAATGCCTATTGTGATCCATACTGGCTTGATTACTCCTTTTGGCTGAACACATGATTAAATCTTCACCTTTATTGTAACTGGACTCTTGAGTACTTTGGCAATGTTTTTTGTGTCTTAATACTTTGTCATCACGCTGTGCACTAGGTAACAGGCTTTGAAGCATCAGATCCCGATCCTCTCTAGGTTCCATACTAGGGCAATTTATAGCTGATTAAGGTACTCTTATTATTATTTGATAGCTATAATACGGGTAGTGCCTGGCGTGCTACTGTGCTTTTCTTTTACAAGTATTTCCTCCATTTCTTGCTGTGGATACAAATTCAGCACTAGATTCCAACGGGTTAATTATTGTGTTTAGGGATATCAAATGCAGGGCATGGCTTCTTACAATGGCTTTGAATTGAGTTTTTCCAAATCCAGGTATATCTTATTTTATTTACAGTTTGATAAAAAGGGTTGAATTTCTGTATATATTTTGTTTTGATTAGATTCTATGTTCTTTTTCCAGGCATCTGATTCCAACACTGGAATCAACAACAAATCAGCTTGTAAAATGCTATTTGCTTATAAATTTCAATGGAAAATAACCATCTTACTCTGAGATGTTAAATAATTATTGATTCAGAAGGTCAATAGTCTTTGCTTTCATAGAGAACTCAGAGCAGGGATAATTAATAAAGTGGTTAAAAAAGGCCCATATAAAATTTTGTCAAAGTAGAATTGGATAACCATGAGCAGGAGAGCCAATTAAGTCAGTACTGGAAGATATATGGTACAGATTTATATGTTTCTAGAAAAATAAGAAAGAAAAAAAAAAAAAAAAAAAATTACTTACTATTTGAACTTTTAAAATCTGAATTATTATATATTATTTTTTTTATTACCAAAGATGAAATCAAAGCAACCTCAGTGCAAATTATTTTACACTCCAAGAGATCGACTCCAACTCCAACCATTCATTAAATAATCAGTGCAAATTATTTTAGTCAGGAAATGATTTTTTCTCATTAAATTATATGACTTCACCCGAAAACTTAAAAAAGTATTAGTCAGAAAATGATTTTTACCCAAAACTTTTTAAGTATTAGTCCGAAAAGGAGGCGACGGTGAGAAACTGCCATTAATAAATATTTTCTAATATTAGAAAATAAACCCCAAGTCATCAAATACCCAAGCCAGTGAAGTCACTGCCTACGTATAGTACGCGTTGGGGATCAAATTATATGTATCAGAACTTAAAATTGTAATTTTATTTACCTGAAAAAAAAAAAAAAAAAAAAAAAAAACCCTTAAAACTCCCCAAATTTGTTATAATTTTCATTTTGTGCACAGAAAATTTTAGAATTATAACACTGATCCAACATCTAACTTTTACCCTCCAATTTAATCTCTTTGATACTATGAACACTTCATATATTTATCTTTAATGCTCTATTTTTCTATGTTATGGGGCAATATTTGAGCTGTATAATTGTTTACTTCTCTTTTATTGCTTATAATATATGAAAATTATGAATGTACATTCATTATAAAAATTCAAGGACCAATATTGTAAACCATGCATTTTTATTTATTTATTTGGTTTAATTTAATTATCAATTAGGTTTTGATTTGTAAAAATAAGTTTCATTCATTAATAATTTTTAATTATTGCAAGCGATACCTTTTTAGATTTTGGCGAGTTCAACTAATTTGACTTGTGATTGAAAAAAAAAAAAAAAAAATTCAAAACAAAGTAAAATTAATTTGACTTGTGAAAAAATTGTTAATAACATTCGTTGCAAGAGGGAATGAGGGATACACGGGCGCATGCTGGCCTCACTAATTTTATATTATAGTTAGATATATAATTTACAAAAAATTAAATAGTGCCCTCCTGAAATTAGTTTTTTCTAAAAATATCTTAAAATTTATCCTTCTTTTCATTCTTATTCATTTTCTTTAGTAAATATATTTTTTAGTCTTTTTAAAAAAAATTGCATTCCCTATATTCAATCAAACTCATATATATATATATATATTTTTCTTCACTGGTTTTTGTTATTGTAGTTGAACAATTATAGTAATAAAAAAAATTTAAATCAATATAATTACCATTTAAAAAAACAATTTTACATTTTTTATGATATATGAGGCAACAAATTAGTTACGTAATATGTTTTTGTTTCGAAATAAATCACACAAAAAAAAAGGTTATTTTTTCTTCTCCATAAGGGATCAAAAATGCGAAATAAAATTTGTTGCAAAAAAACCCTTAATATATCTATTTTATATTTTTAAAATTTTCTTACAACAATAGTTTTTCATATTATTAAATACCATATGAATTACTTGTGGGGGAAATTAGAAATGGCAATGGGACGGGTTTCTCATTCCCCATCCCCATTCCTGTTTAAATTTGGCACCCCAAAACCGCTCCGTAACCGATTATTTTTTTACCCCTAATCCCCATAACCGCCTGAACGCTATCCCCGCCTGTTCCGCCTCCGTCCCGCTTTAGAAGATAGGAATGAATAAAGTTTTTTTAGAAGTATACATAGATTTGGGGCGGCGGCGAGACGGGGGAGGGGTAACGCCGCCCTGCAACCGTCCCGATTACATATGGAATTATTCTTGTTAGTCCCTGTAATGTAATTGTACTTACAAATTTAACATATTATATATATATATAATATGTTAAATTTGTAAGTACAATTACATTACAGGGACTAACAAGAATAATTCCATATGTAATCGGGACGGTTGCAGGGCGGCGTTACCCCTCCCCCGTCTCGTCCCGTCCCAAATCTTGCCGTTTTTTTTTTTCCAACCCCATTCTTTAAATAAAGGATTTTTCAAATTCGCTTTAAATGAGACGAAGGTGGGGCAATTCTCTCACTGGGTTGGGATAATTTTCTTTAAATAAACGGTTCTTCAAATTCGCTTTAACCGCCTTTAATTTGCCTGTTGATTCTGCTTGCTGCAGCTTCTGCTATGGCTGTAATGCTGTTACTGGCAATGATGTAGTAATTACACCAAAAGTTGAAAGATCAGACTTCAGCTTCTGCACTATCAAGACATAGTTTATATTTTTCCCCAAATGTTGCAGGAAGCTGCTATTAATGGATTAAACAGCAAAACACAGATGAAGATAATGCTGAAATGGATGAGGGGGAGGAATATGCTCAAGATGTTTTGCAACTGAGTTGGTTCCACCAAGAAATTTCTGCATTGTACTCTGCCTGAAGAACCTCAAACTGAGCAATCAAAGGCGGCCCTGGAACTGCAACTACAGACCGAGAAACCTTCTATGAAGAGGAAAAAACGAAAAAAATAATGCATGTGGAGTGAGGGTATTCACCAGGCCTTGAACTGTGCCTGTTAATGGCAACATGAATAATGCCTATTGTGATCCATACTGGCTTGATTACTCCCTTTGGCTGAACACATGATCAGATCTTCACCTTTATTGTAACTGGACTCTCAGTACTTTGGCAATGTTTTTTGTGTCTTAATACTACGTCGTCACGCTGTGCACTAGGTAACAGGATTTGAAGCATCAGATCCTGATCCTCTCTAGGTTCCGTACCAGGGCAATTTATTGCTGATTAAGGTCTTCTTATTATTATTTGATAGATATAATGCCAGGCGTGCTATCGTGCTTTTCTTTTACAAGTATTTCCTCCATTTCTTGCTGTGGATACAAATTCAGCATTATATCCCATTTGTGTTAGTTATTGTGTTTAGGGATATCTAATGCAGGGTATGGCTTGTTACAATGGCTTTGAGTTGAGTTTTTCCAAATCCAGGTATATCTTATTTTATTTACAGTTTGATAAAAAGGGTTGAATTTCTGTATATATTTTGTTTTAATTAGATTCTATGTTCTTTTTCCAGGCATCTGATTCCAACACTGGAATCAACAACAAATCAGCTTGTGAAATGCTATTTGCGTAAAAATTTCAATGGAAAGTAACCATCTTACTCGGAGATGTTAATACTCAATAGTCTACAGCTTACATAGAGAACTAAGAGCAGGGGATAATTAATAAAGTGAACAAAAGAGGCCCAAATAAAATTTTGTCAAAGTAGGGTTGGATAACCATGAGCAGGACAGCCAATTCAGTCAGTACTGTAAGATACGTAGTACAGATTTGTGTGTTTGTAGAAAAATAAAAAAATAAAAAAATTACTTACTAATTGAACTTTTAAAATCTGAACTGTTATATATTATCTTATTTTTTTATTACCAAAGTCAAAGCAACTCCAGTGTTCACACCAGCTCTTTAAATAAATGTAAACATTTATTATTGCTGTTGTTGCAATTTTTCATTTTCATATTGATGGCAAAGCAGACCAGGGACAGACAAAACAAAACCAAGAGAACGACTCCGACTCCGACCGTTCATTAAATAATCAGTGCATATGATTTTAGTCAGAAAATGATTTTTACTCATTAAATTATATGATTTTACCTGAAAACTTAAAAAATTATTAGTCAGAAAATGATTTTTACCCAAAACTTAAAAAAGTATTAGTCCGAAAAGGAGGCGGCTGTGAGAAACTGCCATTAATAATATTTTCTAATATTAGAAAATAAACCCAAGTCATCAAATGGCCAAACCAGTGAAGTCACCGCCTACGTAAAGTACACGTTGGGGATCAAATTATATGTGCATATATGTATTGTATATGCTGAGCTTAAAATTGTAATTTTATTTACCTGACGATGAAAAAAAATACTTAAAAACTCCCCAAATTTGTTATAATTTTCATTTTGTGGACAGAAAATTTTGAATTCTAACTTTTACCCTCCAATTTAATCTCTTTGATACTGAACACTTCATATATTTCTCTTTAATGCTCTATTTATCTATGTTATGGGCTATATTTGAGCTGTATAATTGTTTACTTCTCTTTTATTGTTTATAATATATGAAAATTATGAATGTACATCCATTATAAAAATGCAAGGATCAATATTATAAATTGCGCATTTTTCTTATTTATTTAGTTTAATTTAATTATCAATTAGGTTTTGATTTTTAACACTGATCCAACTTCTAACTTTTACCCTCCAATTTAATAATCTCTTTAGTACTGTGAACACTACATATATTTATCTTTAGGCTTCGTTTGGATTGAGAGATTTAGAGGGATTTGGAGAGAAAAGAAATGGAAGGATAGCGATTAGGGTGTTTGGATGGGAAGAATAAAAGAGAAAAGAAAGGATTTGGAGGGATTTTGAGAGAAACGGAACAAATTACAGAAGGAGCAAGAGAGTTGAGAGACAGCCGGCTGAAGCTTTGCGAACGGCGACCGAACTAGAATAGCAAGTGATGGAAATTGATAGATTTGGGTTTTGATTTTTTTTTAACAATCTGAAATGATATGTGGATATGGATTTTGATTTTCACAGTTGCACAGAGAGAGAGGAGGAGGCTGAGAACGAGATGGAGGCTATTGGGAAGGGTGAAATATATATATATATATATATATATATATATATATATATATGTAGTTTGCAGTTGCATAGAGAGAGAGAGTTGCAAAACAAGAATTACAGACCTTGATTAGTTGATTTTGATTTTTGGAACAATCTGAAATGATATGCCGATATGGGTTTTGATCTTTTGATTCTTATAGATTTTGTAGTTTGCAGTTGGAGAGAGAGAGAGAGAGGATCTGTGAGAATGAGAATAGAGAGATAGAGGCGATTGGTAATTCTAGAGAGAGAGAACGGTGAACGAGAATAGGGAGGCTGAAATGATTTTGCCCTACTAACCCTACCAAAAATGGTAAGATGGTAATTTCATTATTATCCTTTTCCTTTTTTTTCTCTCCTTTGTGTTATCCAAACAATAATATTATCAATTCCTTTCTTTTCTCTCCTATCTATCTAAACATGAATATAAATTATAACTATCATTTCCTTTTTTTCTTTTCTTTTCTCTCATAATCCTTTCATTTCTTTTCTCTACTGTGTATACAAAAAAAACCTTAATGCTCTATTTTTCGCAACTCCAATGCTCTCTCATTTATGCTTTGTTTGGTTGGAGGGATGGAAAAATTGATGGAAGGGAGAAGGGGAGGGATGGATGAGTCATCCTAAGGAAGGGAAAATGTCTCCTTCATTTTTTGTTTGGTTGAATGGAAGGGACGGCAGAAAGGATTGATGGAGTGCTAATTTTTTTTGTTTGGTTGGAGGGAAGGAAATGATAGTTTTTATATATTTTTTATGAATATACCCTTACTATATAAAGTTATAAAATTAATTAGTTTAAAATTATTTAATAATATTGAGCTCTACTAATAAGTTGTCTAAAATGAATGTTTTATACTCACATACAAAACAATTTTTTATTTTATTTTAAAAATGAATGTTTTTTTTATTTTTTTTATTACATACCAAACAATTAATCAATTTAAATTTATTTAATAAACACTATTGTTGTTTAAGGCTACAAGGTTTTAACAAATTTTTAAGAAGGATAAAAATGGAAATTATAATAAATTTTGATAGTTAACCTTTTTTTTCTCTACTATTCCCCCCAAATTTGGGTGGTTCATCCCTCTCTTTCCTTCCTTCCAACCAAATATGAAAACATTCATCCTTCCTTCCTCCCATCCATCCCTCCCCAATCCATCCCTCCAACCAAACATAGCATTAAGCTTTCAAATTCAAAATATGAGAGGTGGCTACAAAGTGAGCTCTCCAATGGACTCTCATTTGAGCTCTCAAAATTTGAGATTTTCAAATTCACTCTAAAATCTAGCACCTGCCAATTTTTTTGGCAAGTCTCTTAATTCTTGTGACGGCCCTGGTTTTTAGGCCAGCGTGTCCTGTGATGAACCGAACATAGATCCGATAACGAATCCAGAATGCGGAAGCAAGAAACAAAACAACGGTCTCCCAAGGCACAATACACCTATAAGACACTTTGATGACCTTCCATGAGGTCGTGCAACTCAATGAGAACTGACACGAAAGTAAAAGATCGGAAATATGACAAATAAGCCCCCAGGGGAAAAATAGTCATTTTACATGGAAATGACGTCCCTAGAATGTATATTATTCCTGAGACACATCTATGACTTCCCGTGAAGTCACGGAACTCAAAAAAAGTAGCAGAAGCGAATTACAAGAAAACCTGACAAAAATAGCCCCAAGGGCAAAATGGTTATTTCTGAAAATATAGATTCGGATACTACCAAGTACACCACTGGAAAGACAATGAAAAACTAATCAACATGGACTCAAGAATTGTATGATTCAGAATCCGGATGAAAGAAAAATGGCAAAACAAAGAAAAACGGACATACAAAGCAAAAAGGGTAAACTGGTAATTATTCAGAATGATTCAGGTGTAACTGAGCATACCGTTGGATAGATGACGAAAAATTAGTCAAGTTCAAAATTTTTTTTACTCGATTTGGAGTTCGGACGAGGGAGAAAGGTCGAAAACAAAAAGAGGGTCATGATAGCTACAGTGCTGTCGACCAACCCTTGTGCAACTGAGAGTAAAAACGGGCATCTAAACGGACTTTTTTCGAAAAACTAAAAGAAGAAACCCCCCCTAAAATTAAGTTTTCTACCCGGCAGCGTGGATAGAAACAAAAAAATGCATTTTAAAATACTCAAAATGCCCCCAAGAAAATTAGGTCAAGAGGGTATAAATCTTTCCGAGCTGCTGCCCAAGGAAAGGAAATGGGGCTTCGGAAGGTTTTTAAATTGCCTAAATTGAAAATACAATCTTAAAATACACCCACAAGACCCCGAAAGTTTCGGATTGGTCGACACATTTTTTTTTTAAAAGTTGATGAATAGTAACAAGTACTAAAATCTTAAGTTTTAAAGAAAATGGCATAAACCAGAAAAATGAACTAGGCGCGTAATTTTCGGGACCAGACGACATTTTTGGGAAAAATACAAAGAAGAAACCCCCCCCCCCCCCAAATCGAGTTTTCTACCCGGCAGTGCGGACGAAAACAAAAAAAAATACATTGTGAAATACCCGAAATGCCCTTGGATCAAAAAAGGATAAAAACTCATGAAAATGCCACTTTGAGTTTTTATTTCATCAAGAATGGTATTGTGTGCCAAAGTGAACATGCAAGCATACGTAATATGATAAAGTAAACGTACTACAATGGCCTACGGCCTCATGACATGTTGTATGTAAAATATGACCCTTCAATGCATGAAATCTCCTAACTTAGCATACATATCACATACGTGTCTTTGGCCCTTGGCCTCATTACATACAAGTCAAATACATTGTATAGAGTGTACTTATGTACACATTACATAAATGGAATCAAATATACACATTTTGACAAATAAGGCTATAAGTGGCATTTCAAGCCAACCTTTACAAGAATTAAAACCTTCAAGTTTACAATTATCCAAGTAATGATGAATATCATGAACCAAGTCTTCGTACCTAAACAAAACCTTCAGTAACTTCGGGGTGAGTAAACAAGTTTAGTCGTAGGGAATGAGCATGCATAGATTCGATTTCTTCACAGATTTTTACATTAACTTGAAACAAGTCAAAAGGATCATGCCACCTAACGTCTATGTCAAAGTGAGACTCAGGGATCATCCTAAACTACTCATGCAATTGAAATGAACTACCTCATACAAGTATACATGCTCCAGTATGCTAAACAATGCCAAAACATGTTATACGACATTCAAACATACATTTTCAAGTATACTAAACCATATTAAAACAAGTTATGCAACGTCCAAGCATAGCTACTAAAGTATACATTTAATATGGAATCTCGTATATCAAGTACACAACACAAGTATGCTAAGCTAATAGGATTACGCATAAGACAAGTATACATGGCACAAGTATACTAAATGCAATCTAAACTTATGGAGCAAGTATACATGTTCAAGTATATTAAATAGGATTTGAATACCCAAAGTAAACATCAATTCTCAAGCTACAAGTAATCCATGATTAATAACTTGAAATTAAATGCGAAATCAAATAGTGGAAAGACTAGGACATGCGGTCGCTAGACCAAGCAAGTATTTTCTAGTAATTACGACCCACAATGTACCACCTAGTGCACACTTATGATTTAGAAGACTCTTGCCTCCGTACTAGAGCCAAATCCTAACCATCACATAAATTATGTCCTCACAAAGCTTTTCAAAATCAATAAGTTTAAAACTTATACAAAATCAAATGCAAGTTACCACATTCTGTGCATAAGTAAGGTTGAATCCACACAAATCATGTCTTAGAATCTAAGTCTAAA